ATCATATACTAACTTGCGAAATAATAGAGATATAATTGAAAATAATAATTCGATAGGCAATGGGAACATAATTACCTTAAATGAAAAATCCACTTAAGAGGGTGCATGTAGACAAGCAATGAGCCGATTTAAGTTAGTAAGAAGAATTAGCCCAGTGACAGTATAAGTTAATGCATGCGGTTAAATAGAATTAATAATAGTTTCTCAGAAGCAAGTTCAGATTTTAATTTGAACAAACTGGGCCAATCAAGTGTATAAGAGAATGGCATGCAAATGAATGAGAATGATGATTAAGAGGAAATTTAAGGCAAGAATCGCTGGCAAAACCGGCGGCTGTCAAGGCTCGTCATCTAGATTAAGCTACAGAGCGAAGTAAACTCTTTCTTCACTTTAAGAAAGATAGAAATTTTAAATAGAAATTCTATCATTTGAATTTTCAAAATATCTATCAATTTAATTTCTAATAACCTGTCTATCTCACCTCCCGTCACTACCTGTCTCAGCACAGTACACAGCATGCACTGCACCACAGCACTGCACCACAGCACAGCACCACAGCACAGCACCACAGCACCACAGCACAGCACCGCAGCACAGCACCGCACCACAGCACCACAGCACAGCACAGCACCACAGCACCACAGCACAGCACCGCAGCACAGCACCACAGCACAGCATCACAGCACAGCACAGCATCACAGCACAGCACCGCAGCACAGCACCACAGCACAGCATCACTGCACAGCACAGCACCGCACCACAGCACCACAGCACAGCACCGCACCACAGCACCACAGCACAGCACCGCAGCACAGCACCACAGCACAGCATCACAGCACAGCACAGCAGCGCAGCACCACAGCACAGCACCGCAGCGCAGCACCACAGCACAGCACCGCAGCGCAGCATCACAGCACAGCACCACAGCACAGCATGCACAGCAGCACAGCACCACAGCACAGCACAGCATCTGTCTCTTATACACATCTAGATGTGTATAAGAGACAGGCACAGCACCACTGCACAGCACAGCACCACAACACAGCACAGCACCACAGCACAGCACAGCACCACAACACAGCATGCACAGCAGCACAGCACAGCACCGCACCACAACACAGCATGCACAGCAGCACAGCACAGCACCAGAACACAGCATGCACAGCAGCACAGCACAGCACCGCACCACAGCACAGCATGCACAGCACCAAAGCACAGCACCACAGCACAGCACAGCCCCACAGCACAGCACCGCAGCCCAGCCCCACAGCACAGCACCACAGCACAGCACCACAGCACAGCACCACAGCACCACAGCACAGCACCCTGCAGTGCTCGCCACATCTACCCCAGCCACACAACAGAGCCCACGCCACTCAGTGTGGCTGGTGTGTGTCGTTCTAAACACAATTGTGGCTTGTGACATTTTTTGTTCCTGTTCAAAAGCTGGCCAATTACACGGAGGGCGCCATGAGGCGGCCATCGCTGGCCACCAAAAAACCTACCATAATCCTGCCATGTTTTTCAATAGGGTAGTTTGGAAGGGAGGTCCTATAATTCCGACAAATTGCCGCGTCGTCCGCAATTTTAGTGAAGTCGCAGGCAAGATTTTGCTTTAATAAACTAAGTTGTATTTTGATATAATTTATGCGCCAACTAAAAGTAAGAAATTCTTTCTGTACTTTTGGTTCTGATAATCAGGGATGATTTGTTATTCATAAAGAATGATTTGTTATAACTCAGGAAGGTTATTCATAACTACTGCTGGATGTGCAGGTCCAATATACGAAATCGGGTGTTCAGTAACTATACGCAAATAAAGGTATATTCGTTTGAATTTGTTGGAAATCTATATTTTTTGTTGGCTGTGAGTGAGTAATTGTGTGAAATCATAAATTGAAAATAATTAATTATCAAACGAAGTTTATAGTTGTTATGTTTATTCTTATCTATTCTTTAAATCTATTATTATAGGAAGGAACAGACTATTGAATTTCGAAAATTTGCAAAAATTGCGTCGATTTTATTTAATTTTGCCTTTGATCTGCGTGAGTTCAATGAGATACAAATTAGGCAGCAAGGCATTGTTAACGCACGAGGCTACTTAACCTCCTTCAAAGAGGGTAGGTTTGGAGGGCGGGCCCTTGGTGTTGGGCCATTGTACCCTCCAAGGAGAGTATTGTACCCTTCAGGGAGGAAACAATGGGATGACAACAGCTGGGCCTCGGGGTGAACAAGGTCTGGGGGATGAGGTTGGGTGTAGGGGTTGCATGGCTGGGGTGAGGCGTTGAAATTGTTGCTTGTCAGGCCGTTCAGTGAATTTTGGTGGCGCGCGCACAGTGGGCGGCCGAGGGCAGTTTTCCTTCAGGCAAATGACGTTGAAACAACGTTGATAACGAGTTGATTTCGTTGAAAAATGTTGATTGCGAGTTGATTTTGTTAAAATAACGTTGATTACAAGCTAATTTAGTTGAAAAATGTTGATTGCGAGTTGATTTTGTTGGAACAACGTTGATGAGAGTTGATTTCGTTGAAAAATGTTGATTACGAGTTGATTTTGTTAAAATAATGTTGATTACAAGTTAATTTAGTTGAAAAATGTTGATTGCGAGTTGATTTCGTTAAAATAACGTTGATTACGAGTTAATTTAGTTGGAAAATGTTGATTGCGAGTTGATTTCGTTGGAACAACGTTGATGAGAGTTGATTTCGTTGGAACAACGTTGATTGCGAATTGATTTCGTTGGAAGAAGGTTGATTACAAGTTGATTTCATTTAAATTAACATTGATAGGAGTTGATTTCATTAAAACAACGCCTGATCAACGTAAGTTCAACGTAAGATATCTGATGGGTTAATTGGTTCTTCATTCGAAGTGTAATTTATTCAAGAATATCTCTTTAATTTTGTCCGTACGTTGAGTGACACAAAATATTTATATTTGATTATCAAATATAAGTTGACGAGAATGAACCCATCATCACTATTTTACTTCATCATCTTGAACGTCATTAATTGAATGATGAAATAATAACGAGTTCCACCACGATATTTATGTTTAAAATGTTAATTTAATATAAATAATTAATAGTGAATAGCAATATTTATTAGTTTATAAATTTATATAATAACTTATGTTAAAATTCGCAAGGAAAATTATAGCGCGGCCGTGGGCTGCACCAAAAGCCATCAGTGCATTAGCACGATCGTTTATGACACGTGACGAAGTGGGTCCAGTAGACTCACTTGCATCCTGGGCCTATACTTTCAAAAAAAGTTAAGAGATCGTAAGTTCATCAGCCAATCATTGACGGCCTTTCAAGCAAAATCCACCAATCATAGACAAGAAAATAAAGCGTAAGTACTTACGTTCACTATACTTTCAAAAAAAGTTAAGAGATCGTAAGTTCATCAGCCAATCATTGACGGCCTTTCAAGCAAAATCCACCAATCATAGACAAGAAAATAGAGCGTAAGTACTTACGTTCACTTAGCGAGTGTTGAAAGTATGGCCCCTGGTGTAGATGTAATCTTGGTATTGCACTCAGAAGAAAAATTAGCCAGAATTTGTCCAATTATCGATGCGCTTTTTGGGTCATCCTGACACAGTTTCGCCCGGAAAAAAAGGCGTTTCAGATCTCAATTTTGCTCTCTGCTCGTGCCGTGAGTAAGAAAGTGATTAAATTTTGGACAATCTAACGCATTCATTTGTGTAAGTGCACGGGTAAAAATAACGGTGGAACTAACAGAATGAAAGTAAAGTTGACTGTAATTATGATTTATTTTCAAAGCTTTCAGGCTTTTAGTCTCTATGCATCTAGACTCTAGTTTCTAGTTGAAACTTTAGATTCTATTGGCAATTATTCTTTAGATAATGAAGAAAAACGGGCCAAAAAATGCTCGATATAGCTGAATTACACATAAAGATACAGTATATTAAGCTAATAGCTGGATAGTCGATTCTAAAAGTACATAGAAATTACATCTACATTACAAATAACATTCCTACTAAGTTTTACACATAAGTACACATGAACAGCTTAAAAGCTCTATATAACGGGTTACAAGTCGTTAAAATTGGTGAAATTATCGACTCTAATTTAAAACTTCAACAATATTCATAATAAATAAATATATCTATTTATTTATTGCTGACATTGAACACTAGATTTCACGATGCTTTAAGAAACTACCAAATGAATATAAGAGAAAGGCACATATATTTAGCTTACGTGTATTTCAACGTAACTTAGATAAATAGGCTTTATAATAAGCTGTATTTTTAAGTCATTTCATTGTATTAAATTTGTATTCCATACGACATTACAAGGCGCTCTAGTACACATACACACACATATATATATATAATAAATCTCGTTTTAAATAACTGAATTTAAATAAAAATCAATCACTAAATCCAGATAATAAATCACGCAATGATAGAGCCAGCATCATTGATAAGAAAGATCGTCATGATGATAGAGTAATAATCATATTCATGTTAATTATCAATCGCGTGACGTCAACGTATATTACATTAATCGGTCAATAATTAACGCGTGACCGTTATGTTAGCTGGATTAATTGAAAATAAAATTAATGAATAATTGACAATTGAATAACTGTCTGCGGACAGACAGGGACAGGTTATTAGTTACATTTGTCCAATACTAACAGGATTCTTAATAATTAAATAACAGACCCTCATATGGATAGACTACTAGTTTAACTAATTGCGTAATAATTGGATAATGTATAAAATAACCGCGTAGCATGACACCCAGTACCACGTTATAGTTAATTTCCCGCATAATAATTGAATAACTGATAATTGAATAACTTGTTGCAGACAGCCAGGACCACGTTATTAGTCAACTTATCGTATAATAATTGAATAATTAATAATTGAAAAACTGGTTGCAGACAGCCAGGGGCAGGTGCGGCAGCTGGTGTTCCCCAAGGGCCTGGACCTGGACCGGCCTAAGCGCGCCCGCACCACCTTCAGCAGCCGCCAACTGACGCTCCTCGACGCCGCCTTCAGGAGGAACGCCTACCTCGTGGGGCGCGAGAGGGCCCAGCTCGCCAGGCAGCTGGGGCTGTCTGAGACCCAGGTGGTGGGGAGGGAGGGTTAGTGGGTGGTGTGGGTGGAGGTAGTGGGTTGGTGTGGGTGGGGGTAGTGGATGTGGGTGGTGGGGGTAGTGGGTGAGGGTGAGGATGGTGCGCGTGATGGTCGAGGTGCGCGGGATTGGTAATGGGGGAGGGCGAGTCAGGGTTCAAATGAGCCCCAATGGAGTGAGTTATTGCATGTTGTTAATGTTGAGGGGAATAATTATTTGCTTGAACAAGTCACGCGCGAGCTGCGGTAACTAATATAGCTTTTGATTTACAATGTGTATAGTAACAAAAATTGGCGCCGCTTGTAGGTCACGACAAACGTAATTGTTGGATGATATAAGGCGGATGTTCATATTTATTTTCTTGCCCTAAAGCTAATTTCATAAACTTGCTTCTTCAGGTGAAGGTTTGGTACCAAAACCGCCGCACAAAAGACAAGAGAGACAAAGAAAAGGAGCCTGAACCTTTCCTCCCCGTCTTCGGGAAGCGAAACTTCCTCCCCTCCTTGGGGCTGCCTTCCCTGTCCTCAGGACCTCTTCGTGGGGCTCCACAGGAACCCTACAAGTTCCTTCTGAAAGATCCTTGTTCCGTGTCAGGGAGTCACGTCACTGATACTCAGCTGGTGCAGACGCCCAACGCTGCTAACCAAATAGCGGAGACCTGCAGAATTGATTCCCGCCTTGGGCAGGTGTCCAGCAAAGATAACGATACCCAGGGCATATCAGCTCCTGGTAAAACACTTTCTTCTTTGTCCGTAGAGAATTTAGTACCAAAGAAACCGACTTGGCAGACGACATTGTCGGACGGCGTTAATCTAGCAAAGACTGGCACCGTTCAAAGCCCCGTAACCAGAGAGGGGTACACCGCTTCTCTTGACTTACCCCATCTTGGTTATACTCAGGCCCACCAGGGTTCTGATGAACTCAGTCGGGGCAACCCGCAGTTCACATCAAGTATCTCTCCTGATCGTGGGACTTGCAACGGAAAGTTTTTTTCCCCCTACGCTGCTTTAGCGCCATCATCTTGCTACTCCCCACTGGGGATGTTTAAACCCCCATCTACGAGTTTCTACTCTACCGTGAGTTCTCTACCTCGAGCCCAGCTCAGCAGCGACGTCTACTCGATGTCTAGTCCAGTCTACCCTAACATCCCCACCCCAATCAGGGTGGAATTAGGAGGACTGGAGCCTGGCAAGTGGATGTCAACTTCCTGAACTTCTTATTTTATGGTATTAAGCAATTTACAAGTCTTTTTATATTATTTAATATATTGTATATGTCAAGAGAGGCAGCTCTCAGCATCTCGCAACTGCTCAATAAAAATCGTATAATAGTGCTCAGGACAATGATTTTTAAGATTAGTTTACCACAACTACGAAGCTGTTACGAGCGAGCAAGAACTTTAAATTGTAGCCAAGGTTTGTCACGAACGAAAATATTTTTAAAGAAGGCTAGAAGAACAAGAACCAACACCAGGGGCCACGGCTATAAACTAAACAAACTGCACTGTAATACATCCACGCGCCAACATTTCTTCTCGCTTCGAGTCACTGACATGTGGGACCGCATCACTTATGACATCGTTGACGCTCCGAGTATGAACACCTTCAAGAACAGACTAGATAAAGCTATGGAAAAATATATGTTCAGACATTATGCAGTAGCATATGTTCGGTCTCAAAATGCCTAGCAATTTACGGACTAGGCAATAAGTCCAGCAGCTATCTCAATCAATCGTCAGTTATGGAAAGATCGGGTTCCAAAGGCCGGATCCCTTGTGAATCAAGTCACGAAAAGTACAAGAATCTGCAACAGGCCATGGGCCTATGTCTTCAACGCCGACACTTCTATTAAGACTGGTGGCTCAAGTGATGTGTCAACTTATAGCTACTAACATATAATTTGTAAACGTTCCTTAAAATACAGATTGAAAAATGGTTCACAAACAAAGATTGAACTGCACTGATATGCTTGGCTAAGGCAAATTATGTTGGGTGCTGAACGATCCACCGGTGAGTCCGGACATAATCCGCGATATATTTTTTTCAACTGTGATGGCCGGTAAAAATTGATTATGACATTACTTCGCTGATGTATTCGAAAAACTAAGAAAAAAGGAAAATTGTTTTTATTTTTACACCAGAACCTACAAGTTTATAGGTAAATATTGAATAGGATGCAATTTAATAGCGGGGCTACTCTGTTTTTACGACATCTGGCAACCTTGGTAGATCTTACGGCACTCGTAGTGTTAATGTATATATTTAAATCCTTATTTAAAAATCCATACTCCATGTAATTTATTAGGAATTGAGTATCTACCTGATAAGTTGCATTATTGGCTCAAAGACAAAGAGAATATTTTCAATTCCCTTTTTGTACGAGAGTTATCATTTCATACCTTGGCTACACAATATAAATAAAGCGTAAATATTTTTCAAATTGGTTTGTAATATCCTGTGTTAAACTTACAATAGATTGCTTCATTCAATTTCAAATTATTTCTTACAGAACAATATTGATAACGATTCTAACCTAGACACAGATAATAACAACTGTCAGAATAACTTATTTGCTCATCTGACTTCATGCATATGTTAATTAAACGTTATAGAGACAATGTAACGTTGATGTCTTGGGGAACCATTTCGATTCTCGAGGGACCGCTTCGAGCCTTATTCATGAGGCTCAGGTGGAGTGTACAGTGTTACTCCACTTGATTGGAGAGCCAAAAATATTTCGTTGCAATATTTTTTATTTTAAGCAGTCGAACCTTTCAATACAGCAACGTCCCAGCCTACGTGTACACGAGACACGTGTCATCACATTATGTCCGCACGCGCCGTACTTGGCCAGTGGAGGAGATTCCTCAGCAAAGGAAGGAGTAATGAATTTGATGATCATGTCATCATGGCGGCACGATGACGCCATACGGCATCATGCTTTGTCGCACATTGTGCCACGCGGAACGTTGAGCCACATGGCTGTTTATGGCATTAGCCATGTATGCGCCATTTGTAGAAAACTCCGAAACAACATCACCCACACCATAACATTTGGCACCCGCAGCATCGCAGCGTCACTGGCCTTATACGTAAGCTGCAGTAAATCATATGAATCATATCCTTAAAATAATTTCCCTAAACTTGTTCCTTTTAATGATTTATTCAAAGTCATTCCAGGAAATCTTTTCCTTGAAATCATTCGCCTTTCAAGAGCGCAGCATAACGGGCGTAGTGACGCTGAGTTCCTTGCCCGTGTACCTGAAGAAGTTGCTGACGCAGGGCCAGCACGACAACAGAAGGGCCATCGTCAGCACATGCGACGTGACGAGGAACAGCGGAAAACAGCAGCACAGCCACACGTCAGGGAGGTCATTGACGTGCCAGCTGCCAGCGTCCAGCGTCAGCACGGTGCTCAGCACCCTCTGGATGCTGGACGCGTATGGTACCTCAAACACCACCGACAAGAGGGCTACCCACAACCCGCAGTGTACGACCAGCAAGGTTATAAAAACCAGGGTTGGAGCACCGACCCTGGCGCGTGGTAACCAATTGGGGTCTAAGGAGGGGTCGAAAACCACGCTAGGGTTTAGAACCCCATTGTAATTAGGGTGTTTTTGGTCACGGGACGCTATTGTTGGCACATATCCACTCCTGCTGGAGGAAGTTGGGGTCTGCAAAGCCCTTCTGGGCTCGTGTCTCCAGGATAAGGGGTCTGCGATACGTTGGTCTACGGCTGACGTTACATCGTCAAGCGAGCGGCAGGACCCAGTAACATCGTCACCCTCGTCGAGCATGTCATCAAGGGCGAGGACCCTAGATAAGCCCACAGCTTTGATGACGTGCACTCTGTCCTGACGAGGGACTTTGGGAGCTGGGCTCACGTCTACAGGCACTGAAGGAGGATTTCGGTCACGGATTTTTCGACTCCTGCAGCGCCAAAGGCTGCCCAGGAGCTCCCGTAGGAGATGTGCAGCACTGATGGACAGCAACAACAGCAGGCTGCTCCCCACCAGGCTGTAGGGCAGCGACAGCAGCCGCGTCATGTCGCTGCGCACCACAGCCCCGCTAGGACCTGTGGAGGAGGACAGGGAGGATTAACATTGTTGCTAATCCTTGATTTCGTATAAGTTTAACGAGTTAATCCTTAAATGGGTTAACCATGGTGTCAGAGGAGGAGTTAGCCCTTGATATTAACCCCATTAAAGGGGTTAATCTTGATCTCACTCAGTGAAAGGAGGAGGAGGAGGAGGAAAAAGTTGATCCCAATTATAGTGGATGAAGGCGGAGAAGGTCGATGACATTGGAAGGGGAGTTAACTAAAAGGACAGCTGGGGGGAGGAAGTCAACACCAATGATTTAGAAAAAGAGAAGTTAACCTATCGACTTTGGGGAAGAGGAGAGTTTACCCTAATGGCTAACAGCATATACGGGACAGCGTTAACAATAATAACGAAGGAGGAGGAGAAAGTTTATTCCAAATAATTAGGGAAGGAGGTAGGGGTTGCAAACCAAGGACTTCTCCAATGCCTTAATGGGCATTGCCCTTTAAGGTAACAATTAGGCACGTGGCATTACCCATTAGGCACGTGGCATTACCCATTAGGCACGTGACATTACCCATTAGGCACGTGGCATTACCCATTAGGCACGTGGCATTACCCATTAGGCACGTGAGGCATGCCGCGTAGAGCAGGGCGCCGGACACGGTCCAGTGTGGCGCGCGTGTGGCGTAGCCGGCGCGTGTGGCGTCTAATGTGGCAGCCTCCAACTTTTCGGCGTACTCAGTAATCTTGGCGAGCCATGTGGCTTCCTGTGGCACCACCTGCCACACGGGATGCCATATGTGGCTTAGATGAGACATGTGCAAAGCAATCAGAGAAATGAGTGCCACTTTGTCCAAATATCGATGCACTATTTGCCCATTCTTGTGTCATCCTGACCCAGTTTAGTTTGACAAATGGGAGTATCAGTGTAGCGTTGCAGAAAGTGTGTCACTATTTGGACATTATGGCTCATTCATTTTTATGAATGAATGGTCGGTGACTGAGTGCCAGATAGGGTCGTGGAGAACAATCTGTGTATCAAAATAACGCTCAACGTTTGCGTTCAAACAACATTTCACGCTTGCGTCAAAGTAACGTTTCACGTCTAAGATCAAAATAGCGTTTCACGTTCAACATCAAAATAACGTTTAACGTAAAAGATCAAAAGAACGTTTCACGTTTAAGATAAAAGAACGTTTCACGTTTAAGATAAAAGAACGTTTCACGTTTAAGACCAAAATAAAGTTTCACGTTGGCGTCAAAATAAGGTTTCAAGTTTGCGTTAAAATAACGTTTCACTTTTGCGTCAGAGTAATGTTTCACGTTCAAGATCAAAATAACGTTTCATGTTTAACGTTAAAATAACGAATAAGAAACTGAGGCATAGTGTCTTAACTTGATTAGCATTCTATCAACATAGGTTAGTGCCATTAAACTTCATAGAATATACATTAATATACATTAGAACAATATACATTAATAGAATATAGAATAATCAGGTTAATCAATACAACATACATTAATATAATCAGGCTATTGAAGATCCATTCAATCAATATGGTCATAAAAGATCCATTAATGTAAGGAAGAAATGGAATAACAGAGAGTAGGTGCTGATTACCTTCCTGAGGTCGGTGGCGAGCTCGATGACGATGTTATTATTAATGTTAGGATGTTATTATTAATGTTAGGATGTTATTATTAATGTTAGTATGTTATTATTAATGTTAGAATGTTATTATTAATGTTAGGATGTTATTATTAATGTAAGGGTAGGTACTGCTCACCTTCCTGAGGTCGGTGGCGAGCTCGATGACGACCTGCGACCTGAGCTTGGCCACCCGCGCCACGACCCCCTCCTCCAGGGGGGCCTCCAGTGCTGAGAACACCAACGCCCCTCCCCACCACCACAACCCCAGCACCACCGCCACCCCAACCTGTCACGGGGGGGGGTGTTATCACAGCACTCATCACCACCACCTCCACCCTAACCTGTCACGGGGGGGGGGTGTTATCACAACACTCATCACCACCACCTCCACAACCACCACCATAAGCTGTCACGGGGGAGGTGTTATAACGCTAAGGCAATACAGCTTCACTTAGCGTCAACGGAGAAAAGAAGCAAACAAACGCTGCAACAAGAGTAACGCATGCAAACAAAACTGTTGTACGACTTTGGCTTCAGAAGGAATTCTCTGGTAAAAAAACTGAATAATAATAATTCATGTCTGAAAGTCTAGGTAAGTAACCGAGTGATCGACCAGCGGGACCCCGCTCACTCATGAATAAAAATTAATAAAATCTGTATAATAACTCTACGGTTCTTATGCTTCATAATATGTAAACGAGAACATATTTTGGAGAAAACCATGGTTGCTACGCTGGACTTCATGTTAAAATAAAAGTCTTGGAAAAAAGCAACAATTTTCAAGATTCCCATTGTATTAAATGGAACTTTGTGAGTAAAACTCTTCAACATGCCTATAAATAATTTGGTTAACGGAACATGATGCATATGATGGTCAAATAAACGATAATCTAAATAGCACGACCTGAGGTCTAAATTTCTTAGCTTTGAAGGTCGTGTTAACTTCCATGCGCAAGTAGCTGCGTTGGTAACTACGTTACTATAATTAATATAATAACTATGAACATTTGTTGAACACTTTAATAAAATAATTGTCAACATTTGTTGCTAGTCGTTACTAAGCTCTCTTCAACTTTACTTGTCGAAAGAATTATGGCTTCAATAAAATAAACAAAGATTATAATGCTAACACGAATCTGTAACATAAATAACATTGTTTTTATGTTGTTAAAAGTTCGCAGAAAAAACTTCAAGAGCTGGTCATATTTAGAGGAAAACCTATCAATTTCATCTTACATAAATCTCGCGCGTTTAGAGTTTTACATCAAACGAAAAATAAATCTATAGCCTAGAATTCTAATTACCGTTCTAAAACCAACGGCTTCAAATTTTTGTTTTGAAGTACTAGGTTTTCCTAAAGATTTATCCCCAAAATTTTCTTAGGTAGTATTGGGTTCTCCCAAAATTCAGTGGGAACGCAGCCGTGGGTAACAAAATTCACTCGTAAACAGGCCTTGGGCCCAACGCCAACCATCAGCATGCAATATCTACATATAGCCTCAGATCAATGAGCTGTGGGTAACTCCGGCTAACAGTAAATCCGCTTTGCACAACACAACCACGGCTTCACAGCGCCGCAGCGCAACTGGCCGGAGCGCAACAAGCCCTACCGCAACAGGCGGCGCAGGCTAGGTTAGGTTAGGTTAGGAGTAGCTGTTGCGGTCTATAGGGCCTGTTGCGCTCCGGTCAGTTGTGCTCCGGCCTGTATGCGCCCCGGCCTGTGACTGAACGGCGCTGTTGTGGTGGGCGCTTTGTGTCAAAAGCCGTGAAGATGCCCGGCTGCGTTACGCTCGGGAAGGTATATGAATCGCACTGTGGACTTGGGCTATGCTGACCTCTAGCTATTTACCCAATTCAGTGAGATCTCCCCCCCCCCTCCCGTCACAAAACGGACCTGTGAGAGCAGCACCCGCAGTAGCACGGCGGACGCCGCGGCGGCAGGGGTAAGGCAGCGCAGCTCCCGCAGGGTGGGCCAGAAGAACAGCCTCGAGTGCCGCGGCCGTAGCGCGGGCGTACGGCCGGCCATCTGACGGCCGTTGAAGTACCGCGGCCATGCTTGCACGGCCACCGAGCGGCGGCCGACGGACGGCAGGAAATGGCAGGGACAGTGACAGGATCGTGGATCATGATGACTCATCGTCTCCAGCAGCGTCTGGGTAGAGAGAAAAGGTGGATTACCCTCTACATTGGGTAGAGGGTTACCTGCGAGGGAGGGTAGAGGGTTACTTGCGAGGGAGGGTAGAGGGTTACTTGCGAGGGAGGGTAGAGGGTTACCTGCGAGGGAGGGTAGAGGGTTACCTGCTGGGGAGGGTAGAGGGTTACCTGCTGGGGAGGGTAGAGGGTTAACCTGCTGGGAAGGGTAGAGGGTTACCTGCGAGGGAGGGTAGAGGGTTTCCTGCTAGGGAGGGTAGAGGGTTACCTGCGAGGGTGGGTAGAGGATTACCTGCGAGGATGGTGGAGGGTTACCTGAGAGAATAGGTAGAGGGTTACCTGCGAGGGAGGGAGAGGGTTACCTGCGAGGGAGGGTAGAGGGTTACCTGCGAGGGAGGGTAGAGGATTACCTGCGAGGATGGTAGAGGGTTACCAACGAGGGAGGGTAAAGGGTTACCTGCGAGGGAGGGTAGAGGGTTACCTGTGAGGGAGGGTATAGGGTTACCTGTTGCGAGGGAGGGTAGAGGGTTACCTGCGAGGATGGGTAGAGGGTTACCTGCGAGGGAGGGTAGAGGGTTACCTGCGAGGGAGGGTAGAGGGTTACATACGAGGGAGGGTAGAGGGTTACATACGAGGGAGGGTAGGAGATTACCTGCGACGATGGGTAATGGTATCGAGCTGAGTTCTTCACGACGTCGGAGTACTGGGAGCTGGCGCTGCAGGGCCTGGGACCGTGGGGGGCACTCATCTGGTGCGAGGGGGGGCAATACCATTAATAACACTATTACTAAAACTAACTAGCTAGTTAGATAATGATAGATTAATTATATTAATCAGCTTACTTGCTTCCTTCTAGGTCACTGACCGAATCACCCGCTCGGTTAGGAGACGTTTTTATTTTAGTTAGACATTCTTGAGTTTTATCTACTCAAACCAGGATAATGATCGCTGAGCCCACCCTTTCTTCCTCTTAAAAAGTTGAGACAAAATTATAACCAATATGTAATCCTTAAATTCTAATTCAAAACTATTCAAACTGTCCTGAATATCATGGACCTTAACACGGACCGGGCATCTGTGTTTTTATTAATCCATTTACCAGCCTGATATTTTTAGGTTGAACCCTACGTCTTAGATTGGGAATAACTTAATTGTAACTCAGACACAACCAAGAAAAAAAATACGGAAAAGGAAAAAAAAGCATAAGTGAATGTTGGACCTGTATGTATTCCTGGGGTATTTTGATCCACCATCCAATCTGTAGTCACGAGGACATTAATATCCTTCCCCTTTGCAATCATGGGGATAAGACTTCTACAATTTCGTCAAAAAACGTGTATATCTTTATAACCAACTCTCGTGTACTTACCCTGGGTTCGACGAAACGCACTCGCTTGGGGTCGTTCTCGAACATGGGGGTGAGAGCCCCGCTGGCAGCTGGGGAGGGTCGAGCAACTTGTGTGTACAGAGGCAGGATCGCTGGCCTCTGAAATATTGAAGGTGAGGGAGAAGTGGATGTGGAACGAGTTTCTCCTAATTCACCTTCAGGAGACAAAGCGGGGTCTTCCTGGTAAAGTTTGGACCTATCGTCTTCCAGCAGCTCCGGTCTGTGTCTATCGGTTCCCGTCTGTTCTGGTCTGTTCCTATCGGCACCAGTGCGATCATGTCTGTATATTTCGGCACTCGTTTGGTCCTGTTTGTACCTTTCAGAATCCGACTGTTCCTGTCTTGTAGCGTATTGATGTGGTACAATTTCAACTTGGTCTTTTGTCGAACGGTTTACACTTCGTGTGTTGGCTCTCCGCGATGGACCATTGATGGTAGAACCGATAAAAGGAACGTAGCTGGTACGGTCATAGGAATTGTCATTCATGAATGGAACCCTGTGATGACGCGATGAAATAACGTGGGGACGGTAGGCATGACCGTCGCTTGAACAAAGGTCATCGTCAGACCGAGAGTATATGCGCAGGTCGGAGTCAGCAATCGTCCTGAGGTTGCCGGCTGAAAGAACTCTTATGGAATGACTTCGGCTGGTGGCGTCCAGAGGGGTGAGGCCAACGTGTTCCTGACGGTCAAGAATTCCTGGACTTGACTCTAAATTGCAACCGATCGAGGTAGAAACATGTGGATTAAAAGCAGGTTTTGATTGAATCAATGAAAAATTTGATGGATTCAGGGCAAAAGTGTGTGGATTCATAAGTAAATTGCCACGATTGAAGGCAGAATTGGGTGGTCTAGAGTCAGACGTTCGAAGATTCGGGGCCGAATTGAGACGTGTTTTTATCTCATGTCCTGATGTGAGGCGCCGTACAGAAGAGACTTGGGAGGAGGCACCGTTCCCCACACTTGCATGGGGAGGTCTTGAGACGTAGCCTCCCACGATGTGTGGTCTCGCAGATCCTGGAACTGTGGACTGAAACAAAAGTCAGGCGTTCACACACAATGAAAACTGATCAAAAAAGGCATCAAACAATACTGGTTTATCACAAATTCCAAGACGAAACTACTGCGCCTGTCGTAAGTTTCTATTCCTAGGAAGGAAATCCTGATTGAATAATGAGAGTATTCCATGGTAACTAGGTGAATCCTTTCAATATATATTCAAAGTACGTAAATGTACGACATTACCACATTATTGGGAGTAGCTTTCGTTTCTTTTGGACAGCATTTCATTGTTTTATCCGTATCCACGTATTGTGGAGTATTCCTAGTTCCAGCAGGTGATTTCCCAGCCATTGTTTCGATTAGTTGTCCCGATGACCCAGCAGTTTCTGCTGGTAGATTCTCATTGTCTCCGGCAGTTAGCGGATCCACTGGCTCAGTAAAAAACTGGTTTGCCTGCACCGCAATAAGCTGGCTTGCCGGGCCCACAGGAAGGAGGTCCCTCGGCCCAGCTGAAGACTGGCCTCCTGACCCAGCAGGAGGCTGGCCCCTTGACCCAGCGGGAGGCTGGCCCCTTGACCCAGCGGCAGGCTGGCCCCCTGACCCAGCGGGAGACTGGCCCCCTGACCCAGCGGGAGGCTGGCCCCTTGACCCAGCAGGAGGCTGAACCCACAAAGCGGAGGGAATTCTCGAGTTTTCTCCCTCCCGCCGGAGTTTATCGCGCTGGTTCATTACCGCCCCCGTCACATGATTGACCCTACGGTCGGCGGGGGCGGTTGTCGTCACCTCATCGTGACTGCCGTCCAGCGGGGACGTTCTCCGGCCGATAAGGTCCCGATCGTCCGTGCGGACATCGTTGCCTCTTTTGTAGACACGGCAAACATCGTTGGGGATGTCCTTTTTGCCGTCAGGGCGAATGTTCGAGTCGACGTAACGTTTATTGTGCGAATTATGTAAGTCATTTGAGACGTTGTTAACGTTACAGACTTTGAAATTTACGTTGCTACCATCCCCACCAACGTTTTGAATTTTAACGACGTCAGCAGTCGTGGCGTTGTCACTACCAAGATTCCTTCGGATGGATGACAGCCAGCCGCTGCTCGGCATTTTGTCTCGCTTAAAAATAAAGTTTGCCTGCAGTGAAACTTTGCCTCATTTGCCTGCTGAGGGAACAACTCCTGATGCCTGCAAAGGAAACAATAGAGGGATGCGTCATTTGCTGATGAAAGAAACACGAGCCCGTAGGATTTGAAGAAATTGCCTTTGCTGAAACTCTGATACTGGAATTTTCCACTTTTGATACTTAATTATAATTAAAAAACAATTTTCCTTCTACTACTTCTACTTCACGATGCTAGTTTGAGCATCTCTGCCCCAACTTCCCTTCGCTACTTTCTCACACCGGCTATCTCAGTCATATTTATAGAACCGTCACGTATACTGTGACATGGATACAGAAATAGACACAATAATGAAAATCGATATCGGTGTAGAAATAAAAATAGACTTAGAAATATTAATAGAAATACAGTGGTAATGGACATAAAAATATAAGACAAAAAATTGAAATGCACATAAAAATAGAAATGGACAAAGAAATAGAAATTGACATAGAAATAGAATGGACATAGAACTAGAATGGTCATAGAAATAGAATGGAAAAAGAAATATACACGACATAAATAGACATGGATACAGAAATATACATGGACATACAAATGGAACTTGACATCGAAATAGTTATGCGATAGAAATGGACATGAAACTTGAATGGGTATAAAAATATAATTAGACACAGAAATGAACGTGGCCACAAGAAGAGACTTGTAAATAGCAATTACCATGGACATGCCATTAGACATAATATACGGTAGCGTTGGCATGACCAAGCGTCGGACGGTGGCTATTACACGGCCGGCGAAACGCCGGCAATGATTCTTCACTCAGAAAAATGAATGGGCAACATTGCCAAAATACTGACACTTTCTCTAGTACGGCGCGAGCAGGGAGCAGATGTGGCATTTGACGCGTCTTTTGACTGTGTCAAATACTGTCATTACTCAAAATTGTTACAACAAAATCTAAATTTAACCATTCGAATATAAATAGTAATTTTCTGAATTCAATATAATTCAATTTCATTTAGTTAAATTACGTAATTGACAGGATTTTGCTACTTCCGTCTTAAAAAAAATGTGGAAAGAGAGTGTAAATTTCAGTGTCCAAGTCGAAACTTTCATTTAAATGCTTATATATAAGTAATAGGGCATGGTAAAGGTTGATGCTATGTATTTAACAATGATGAGATAATTTGTGATCGAGTGCTGCATGATGACGTAGCCTTAAACACAAACTGGGGGCCGTGATGGGTGGGCTTTTTGGGAGGAGATTTGAAGTGACCATACGTGGTCACTTGCCCACGAAAGTGTCAATAAATGAAGGCAGGAATGTACGGTTGGTTCGAGACCCTAACCACTAATTGTCAAACTTGTTCAAACTTCATAATTATACAATATACAATTATACAAACGTGAATTTGTTTTTTTATTCGTTCATTGAAATTATCGTTAAAATTTGAAATGGGTATACACGAAGAGACATGCTTGTAAACTGCGCTGAAATTTTGAACTGCAATCTAATGAACTGCTCTGAAAAAATTGAGCTGCTGCAGTGCTGTAGCATAATATTTTGTAACATAATTGAGCCTTTAATACATCAAAGTAACGCAGGAGGAACAATTAAAATAATGGCTTTAGAAGTCTTTGATGAAATTATCCTGCAGGATAGCAGCGCAACGCACGACACTTCCCCCCACCAGAAATTATTAGGCATACACTCAAAGAAATGAGGCAGACTTTGTGACGTTTTCACACAATCGACAGGATATCGAATTAAAGAAATAATCAAGTGAGCTTTTATTTTAATTTTGTCAACAAAGTATTGAATTTGATTCGACATGCTTCTTGCTTAGTTGAAACATATCTTAGAGCTGTCAAAGGATTGGCAATGTTCAGCCATTAAGACCCGAATCCCAAATGCAATCTTCAGGATACGGTCTAAAAATAAATAAAAATAATTAAATAATTTGGAGGTGGCGGTTTAGTTACACGTCGAATAAACTGAGTGACGTATACGTGACGTAAATAAAGTTAAGTCTGCCAGTCTCAAAAGCGATATGAACGTATACTGTAGAAGAAATAGGTCTGTACCAACAGGATTAGCGTAGATTAAATTATCGATAGTAATACATAATATACTCAACAAACTGTGAAAAAACTACCAACCTGAGGTTTTAATGCTAAGGGGGTGAACACTTTAAGTACGATGAATAACGTGAGGAAATTCGTGGACATCAGTAGGAGGGGAGGAAATCAGTTGGAGGGGAGGAAATCAGTTGGAGGGGAGGAAATCAGTTGGAGGGAGGAAATCAGTTGGAGGGGAGGAAATCAGTTGGAGGGAGGAAATCAGTTGGAGGGGTGGAAATCAGTTGGAGGGGAGGAAATCAGTTGGAGGGGCGGAAATCAGTTGGAGGGGCGGAAATCAGTTGGAGGGGAGGAAATCAGTTGGATGGGTGGAAATCGGTTGGAGGGAAGGAAATCAGTTGGAGGGGTAGAAATTAGTTGGAGGGGTGGAAATTAGTTGGAAGGGAGGAAATCAGTTGGAGGGGTGGAAATCAGTTGGAGGGGTGGAAATCAGTTGGAGGGGTGGAAATCGGTTGGAGGGAAGGAAATCAATTGGAGGGGTGGAAATCAGTTGGAGGGGAGGAAATCAGTTGGAGGGGAGGAAATCAGTTGGAGGGGAGGAAATCAGTTGGAGGGGTGGAAATCAGCTGGAGAGGTGGAAATTAGTTGGAGGGGTGAAATCAGTTAGAGAGGTGGAAATCAGTTGGAGGGGAGGAAATCAGTTGGAGGGTGGAAATCAGTTGGAGGGGAGGAAATCAGTTGGAGGGGAGGAAATCAGTTGGAGGGGAGGAAATCAGTTGGAGGGGTGGAAATCAGTTGGAGGGGAGGAAATCAGTTGGAGGGTGGAAATCAGTTGGAGGGGAGGAAATCAGTTGGAGGGGTGGAAATCAGTTGGAGGGGTGGAAATCAGTTGGAGGGGTGGAAATCAGTTGGAGGGGTGGAAAGTGGACGCGAAAAATAGACGGAACAGGAGGAGGTTTTACAGCTTCAGGAAATTAGAAATAGACTTAAGATTAGGATTTAATTATAGGAAACTTCGCGGGTACAGTATTAAATCACAGCACTATCAGAGCAAATAGCAAGTAATAAATTGGTCGAATTGATGTAAATATATTTTTACGTTTTAAATTTGAGTTGAATTACATTGAGAATTGAAGCCTTAAACTAAGTCGAACTTCCCAACAAATTAAACGAATGGAATAGAGCAAAAAAAATAACCGAAACTCAATTTAAAAAAACATTCATACAAACCAATTAATAGAGAAAGATGTTCCGAGTAAGATTAGAAATACTTAATGGCTGGATGCAGAAAAGTTGTAGCACTGTTTAGGAGTGACAATAGTAGACGAGTTCAAGTGGTTCATGATTGAATTACACGTCAACTTGAAATTGCGTAAAGAATTCGAATGAATTACACTTCAACTTGAAATTGGGTAAAGAATTTCAGTACGGTTTTTACATGCAGCGAATGCAACTTGAACCTTGTGATACAAACTCTCGATGACTCTTGATTCCCGCCCTAGAACCGCTGACATAAATCCCTACTTATTGTACAAATTAATTCAGAAAAACAGATTTAATAAACATAAACTATTATATGTACAAATTGACGGGGAGAAATGAGGAATTTCTCACAACTTTTTCTAGGTAGCGATGCACTTCTTGAGCTTACATGGGTCACCCTGACCCATTTTGGCCCGACCAAAGGACGTATCAATGATACATATGTTCTCTGCGCGCGCTGTAGGTAAGAAAGTGGGTCACTATGTGAAAAATTTTATGCATTAATTTTTCTGAGTGTAGTCATGAAATTTCAGGGCGTTTATGGGTGGCTTATCGGCGGCCATCCAAGAAGCTTTTATAATAGATAAATTTTTTTGTCTTTATGCAAGATATTTTGTGATCAGCTGAGTAGGAAGTGATCAGCTGACGTGGCAGTGATCAGCTGACGAGGCAGTGATCAGCTGACGAGGCAGTGATCAGCTGACGAGGCAGTGATCAGCTGACGAGGCAGTGATCAGCTGACGAGGCAGTGATCAGCTGACGAGGCAGTGATCAGCTGACGAGGCAGTGATCAGCTGACGAGGCAGTGATCAGCTGACGAGGCAGTGATCAGCTGACGAGGCAGTGATCAGCTGACGAGGCAGTGATCAGCTGACGAGGCAGTGATCAGCTGACGAGGCAGTGATCAGCTGACGAGGCAGTGATCAGCTGACGAGGCAGTGATCAGCTGACGACGCTGAGGTCGCTTCCATTACTGGGCCAGGGCGGCAGGGCAGGTAGGCCCGAGGCTCATAAACTGTTGGCCTCAGCGGCCCTGGGCCAGCTATCTCGTGATGGGAGAGGGCCATCAAACTAGTCAACTCTCCACGCGCTGGGAAGAGGCTAATAAAGATCAATTTCCTGTAGCAAAATTACTGACCATAAGTTAATTGGGTCACCCAGGTAATTGACTTATTACTTGGATATTAAAACAGAGGTAATGAGCATTTGTTTGTTAGGGACTTAGAGCAAAATAATAATTTATAAATATTGAGATATCATTAATGGCATCGATATAGAGCTTATAGATCGGTAGGTTGGAGCTGAATTATAGCACAATTATCAAGATATTGAAGCGTAGGTATCGCACAATTATCAGGGTATCGGAGCAGAGGTATCGCACAATTATCAAGGAATTGGAGCAGAGGTATGAAAAATTATTCACGTATGAGAGAGGAGAACAGAAAAACGGTAACGAGGTATTAATATACGGAGGCTACGTCATCAAAAGAAGCATGGCATGTCACAAATTTGTACCAGGAAGTAGGAGTATCAACACAGAGGTATTAAAGTAAAGGTATAATTAGGGCGGCGTCAGTACAGGAATAACGCAAGGGAACAGCTTGCTGTCACGGCACCAGAGACGCTCCTGACTGACTTGTACCTGGGGCTGTAAACTGGGGCTGTACCTTGGGCTGTACCTGGGGCCGTAGCTGGGGCCATACCTGGGACTGTACCTGCATGGGGCTGTACCTGAGGCTGTACCTGGGTCTGTACCTAAGGCTGTACCTGGGTCTGTACCTAAGGCTGTACCTGTACCTGGGGCTGTACCTGGGTCTGTACCTGGGGCTGTACCTTGGGCTGTACCTGGGTCTGTACCTAAGGCTGTACCTGGGGCTGTACCTGTACCTGGGGCTGTACCTGGGGCTGTACCTGGGGCTGTACCTGAGGCTGTACCTGGGCTGTACCTGGGGCTGTACCTGGGGCTGTACCTGGGGCTGTACCTTGGGACTGTAAACTGGGGCTGTACCTGGGGCTGTACCTTGGGGCTGTAAACTGGGGCTGTACCTGGGGCTGTACCTGGAGCTGTACCTGGGGCTGTACCTTGGGCTGTACCTTGGGCTGTACCTTGGGCTGTACCTTGGGCTGTAGCTGGGGCTGTATCTGGGGCTGTGGCATAGGTCTGGGACTGTGGCATAGGCCTGAGACTGTGACACAGGCCTGGGACTGTACCATATGCCTGGGACCGTGGCATATATAGGCTCGGAACTGTACCCACACGCATCGGTGCGCCGTCACCTCTCATGCAAACGTTGCAATTACATTCCCAGGTGACTGACAACCGCACAGAAATAAAACAGCATAAAGACGCAGCACAACAGCACAAAGAAGAAGCACAACAGCACAAAGAAGAAGCACAATAGCACAAAGGAATGGCTCAATACTGCGCCAAGAAGCTCATCTGATCAATGATCATGAACTGGCATTACGTGCACCCATCATCTTGTGATGATATGCAGCAATTATGCCTTAAATATGCATTTGGATTAGACAAATTCACGTGCTTGATGCTGGACGACAGACAATGACCAATCATGACATGCGGGTAATGATTGCGAATGATAGACAATCCCCGTAAGGTGATTGGTTGACACAATCAACAAGTCCAAATTGTCACACAATAGAGAAGTAGTTAGGAATTGGAATGGCAAACAATTCAAACCTAAAACATAACCTTGTGTTCTATAATTTAAAAACAAATAACGGTACTGGCCTCCAGGACACTCATTTTAAATGTAGGTGAATTCATTTCTTATTAATAATTCGGTAATTTGGGATTACTCCCTCGGCCACAACGTAGCGTGACTACGACTAGCGCCGTAGTGATGACCGAGCGTGAGTGGTGGGAGGTGAAGGGGGTAATGAAAGGAGAGGGAAGGGGTAATGAAAGAAGAGGGAAGGGGGTAATAGAGGAGAGGGAAGGGGATAATGAAAGGAGAGGGAGGGGGTAATGAAAGGAGAGGGAAGGAGTAATGAAAGGAGAGGGAAGGGGGCAATGAAAGGAGAGGGAAGGGGTAATGAAAGGAGAGGGAAGGGAGTAATGGAAGGAGATGGAATGGGTAATGAAAGAAGATGGAATGGGGTAATGAAAGGAGAGGGAACGGGGTAATGAAAGGAGAAAGAACGGGGTAATGAAAAGTGAGGGAAGGGGTAATAGAGGAGAGGGAAGGGGGTAATGAAATAAGATGGAAAGGGTAATAAAAAGAGAGGGAAGGGGGGTAATGCTAGGAGAGGGAAGGAGATAATGAAAGGAGGAAGGGGGTGATGACAGGAGAGGGAAGGGGGTAATGAAAGGAGGGGGAAGAGGGGAATTATAGAAGAGGGAAGGAGTAATGAAATGAGAAGGAAGGGGGTAATGAAAGGGAGTAACGAAAAGATAGGGAATGGGTAATGAAAGAAGAGGGAAGGGGGCAATGATGGGAGAGAGCAGGGAGTAATGAAAGGAGAGGAAATGTAGTAGTGAAGGAAAGGGAAGAGGTTATCAAAAGAGGGGTAAAAATATGCGTGTGTTAAAATGAAATTAATAAAGGGGATAAAAATAGAGGTGGTAATAATAAATTAACAAACAATCATGTATATATAACAATAATTCTGTAATACAAGTTTTATATATGGTGTAGTTGCTAGCAGGTGACGTCATTGGTGCTGGTCATTGTGATACATGTAATGATAGTTGGTATATTAAACTTAAATGATACTTGGTATGTTAAATTTAATGATGGGTGGTACATTCCATTTAATGATGGGTGGTACTTTCAATTTAATGATAGTTGATACGTTAAATTTAATGATAGCTGGTACGTTTAATAAGATAGTACGGAAATAAGGATTCAATACGCCCACACATTACGCGCGCGTACGGGTACTGTAAATTTAGTTTGGGGTAAATCGTTAATTAAATTTAGCTACCGTTTATGTCGGTGAGTGAACGTAATCACGAAATGATTTGTTTGGCGAGGCAGAGCAGTTCAGCCTCCCAGACGTGGTATGGATTGCTTCTGTTGACTGTACATTGATCCTGCAGTCGAATGTCCAGCGACTGGACGCAGTCTTGTAAAACGGGGACGCTGAAACAGGAACGCTGGAACAGGAACGCTGAAACGGGGACGCTGAAACGGGGACGTCTTATACAGGGACGCTAAACAGGTACGCTTAAACAAGGACGCTTAAACGGGGATGTTGATACAAAACGCTTATATAGGGACGCTAAACAGGACGCTTATACGAGGACGCTTCAACAGGGACGCTGAAACAGGGACGCTTAAACAAGGACGCTTAAACAGGGACGTTTAAACAGGGGCGCTTAAACAGGGGCTTTTATACGGGGACGCTTATACAGAGTCGATTAAACAGGGACGCTTATGAAGGATCGATTAAACAGGGATGCTTAAACAGGGACGCTTAAGCGGTATTACTTTAGATTAAGTGCATCCAAAAAAGGGTGTTTTTTATTATATGTTTTTTTGGGGTGTAGATAAAGAACCTGAAATCCGTTTTTGAAGGTCGGCATCGGAAAACAGATTTTTTCCCGATTTTTTTACATATTTTCAAAGATAAAATGCAAGTTAAATCTTGGCCCCAATATCCGTGGATTTATAGCGTTTTTAACTTAGCCTCGGTGACCCATATACTCTTGCAACCACGACATTGCAGGCAACCACGACATTGCAACCACGGTTAGGTTAGGTTAGGTTTTTCGCCGATTTTGCCGATTTTTGCCCGATTTTTTTGACGAATTAGAGCCTCGGGGGAAAAAATCGGTTTTCCGATGCCGACCACCAAAAACGGATTTCAGATTCTTTATCTACACTCCAAAAAACATGTAATAAAAAACACCCTTTTTTGGATGCACTTAATCTAAAGTTTTACCCGCTTAAACAGGGACGCTTAAAAAGGGACGCTTGAACAGGAACGCTTATAAGGGTCGATTAAACAGGGATGTTCTTTCCCGGACGATAAACTTGCGCGGGAAATCGTTCCGTTCTGTCCCGGAGAGATGATGTGTGTTGATGTAATTGCTTGTTAAAATTCAGGGTGGAATTCGAGCAAGGGTGATTTATACATTCAAGATTGATCCTAGCTGTCTGGCAACACAATGAGTTCGAAAATATCAACTAAGTATATAAGGTGAATCTAGGATGAGTTGTTTATATCAAATATGATATGTGCACTTGTTTATATATAAAAACACTTGATTTCACTCAGTTAAAAATAATAACGCTATTAGCTTGCTCTCTTTACTGGAGTAAGGACAAATTTCTGCAGCTCATGGATCAAATGGTATCGAGCTGGGAGAGTTCTTGATGAAAATTCAAAACCACGATGCCATTTGCCGACGCCATTATTATTCGCTTGTGTGGTATATATAATTTCTACTGCAATAGGTCTGGGATCGTGATATAAAGGTCTGGGATTCTATAAGAACATTTTTCCTTCATTATGAAATCATTTCGCCTTGACAATGCTGTCTGCACATTAACATTGTCACAATTAACTATATTCTCTTCGGATGACGAGCTATATCGTAAAAAAATGGTCTGGGCCGAAGAAATTAATTAAGTAAGAAGAATTTACGCCACGATTGGTTTACGCCAGAGGAACCTATTTGCAAACAATTTTCTAGATATCGCGGAGAACAAGACGAAGATGTACTCCATAGCATCACTGAAACTCCTATAAAACCTTCGTATCGTATATTTTTTCGTAGGTAATGTTTTTTTTGGTAAATAAAATACTAATATTAGCGCCAAAAGACGGTGGAAAATAATACACTTGCCTGCTATAGGTTATAGTTCCCCAAGATCCTAGCAGTAACGGAGTCACGTCTGTTCAAAAAAATTAAGAAAATGTTTAAACATACCTGCAGTAATGAAGTACTCTAGAGTTCAGACATGTAGTTTCCCCACAGTCGACGGATTTTGAATTAATAAATCAGCAATTTTGTCACGAGAAATAACAGGGAAGGAAACAGCGGAACAAATTAGGCACAACCATCCCCCGTAAATGTTCGACGTTGACTGGGCCCTAACAAAACCCTGAACCCGGGCGACGTTCAGAGACTAAATCAGAGTTACAGGACACAGTTCAATTATAAAGGTGGATAGAAAATAGCATAATTATTTCGTTCATTTTTTTTAAATCAAAGCATATACAGTAGCAAAAATTAGGTATATCTGGTAAGCAGAGGTGGGCAGTAGCGCGCTACATAAAGCTGCCGCTACATTTTCAGTAGCGGTAGCGGTAGCGCTCGCTACATATTTAAGTAGCGATAAGAGGTTTTGCGGCTACAGCGCTACCGCTACATTTATTGATAAAGCCTTTAGATTTTACTTAACAGTATTAAATATTATTTAAAAGCAACATGATACAAACAAAATATAAATTACAGAATAAAACTGTACGAAAGATTTCGGTGTAATGTTGTCAACCTCAGCCTGTTACTAGAGTCAACATATTAGTTGTTACCAGAGGTGGGCAGTAGCGCGCTACATGTAGCGGCGCTATATTTAAAGCAATGTAGCGGTAGCGGTAGCGCCTGCTACATTTAGAGCATGTAACGGTAGCGGTAGCGGCCGCTACATTTCAAAATAGCGCTGCCCAGCTCTGCTGGTAAGCATAATAAAAGCTGTAACTCTGTTGGTGCTGGATATTGTCATTATAAAAAAAAAAAACATTTATCGATATGCACGATTTTCAATATTAGTATTAAGGAGTACTTAAATCGCTATATACTCAGTTTTGAATTCCTTTATTTTTTGCTGCAGGAAAATATTTAGTAAGCCAATAACTATTGACAACTAAACAGTATGCAGCGACAAGACAACATTTGACGTCATGCTGAAGTTGTTGAGGCAAAGAGAAACGTTTTCACGACCTTTATTATGATTAGAAACTGTTTCTGATTTGCTTGTTAAGAAGAGAGGACCAGGAATAATACTTAGCTGAACTCGGTTGAATGTTACACTCCTTATTTCTATCAACGAAATGTTCACAATTTAAAAAAAGATTAAACCTATCAGAATTAATTTATATATATTAGAGAAATAATCGTAAATCATTAACGTGAGATAAGTTTCATTATTATCAGGCAGGAATAAACAATCGATTCACTATGAAGACATGTAAACAAGATTATTATCTACATATGTAGTAACCACACGTACACGGACACCTTATAGTTCCTTCCCAAATCGAAACCATAAGTAAAATACTCGAGCATGCTGCACATGCGTAGCTGTATAATAAATTGTATTTATAAGAACAATATAGCACAGTGGTAGCGGAACCAAGATGAGAGGAGCTATAGCCGTGGGTTTGAACCTCGGGAAGCTCAGTTAATTTCTCGGTGTCGCAGATGGGCGGCGCTTGGTTGCTGTCAAGGGTGGTGCTTGCAGCATGACCTCTGGTTGGTGTCCCTAAACAAACTTTGGGTACATGGCATCTGTTGATCTTCAGGTCATGACGGTGTCAGTTGATCACCCATCAGGTCTATGACGTTGAATCAACCTCGACTGAGCGTTGTTTCGGTTAAATCAACCAGCAATAAATGTTGCTTCAACGCAATTTGCTAAAGAAAACTGATATCTGAGTCCTGGCTGGATGGTGTATCTCGTGGTGCTATTACTGGGTGATGAAATGCATGGTGTAGTTATTGGTTGATGAAAACGTGGTGTAGTTACTGGGTGACATGGGTGATGCTGAGGGCTTTGTTCTTGGGCACGGTGATGGTGAGGATGTCGTCTGCAGAGAGGGCAGAGTAGACCGCCTCCAGCTTAATGGGACTAGGCAGCAGGAACTGTCGTCTGAAGCTCGAACTTCTCACAGACCCGTGGGTCTTTTCCTCGACCTTCCCCTCCACGACGAGCTCGTTGTGGGCGGTCGCACGAATCGTGATGTCGTGCTCAGTGAAGCCGTGCACGTCCAGCACGATCTGAGGAAGAGAACAAATTAATCATGTACAGGCGTCTGCCAACGCTGTACAAACTACATATATCGTTGATACATTATTTATAACAATAATTTAAAGCAGTATTAATTTAAATATAAAATGAGAATAATATAATATATTGTAGACTAAAATGTAGCATAAGTTGACGATATGCAGCCGGTAAAGGAAAATGCGCGGCGACCGCAAGGGGCCTAAAAGTCCTGCCCGATCCCAACCTACTGCGCGATCACGGTGAGGTTGGGAACCTCTCACTGTCGTATGGACACAACATATGTAACATGGCCTAATCTTTCATGGACTCATTCAAATGTGAGACATTATTATTGCTATTATATTAGTATGAATATTATTAGTATTATTATTCTTATAGAAATTAGATTATTATAGATATTATTATCATAATAGACTTTTTAGTTAGAACATTCAAGGTTCACCAACCTTGAAATCGTTCTCTGTTTCTCGGACTGTTGCGGCTTGGTTCTCCTGTTTAACGTTAAGGTGCCGCAGACTTTTGTAGCACGCGAAGTCGTCAAATATGTCATCATCTAATATACTCCTGTAGTTGGAAAATGTTTTATGGAACCGGCCAAAATCACCCATTCGAGACACGTTCCGAGAACCATCGAAAAGTAGCGAAGGTACTTCCACCCAGCGATCAAGGACCTGTCGAACAGCAGATTGGAAGTGGTCGTGGACCGTGCTGAAAAATGAATCTTGGTAGAAAGGCCCACGACGTATGATTGGAAACTCAAAGATGCTTGGATTTTCGTAGCTAATTAGTTTGTTTAGACTTTGGCTGGTGTTAGAAGAACTCTTGCGTTGCTTGAGTGACTCTTTGACGTTGTAGTCAGTGAGATCTTTTACATCACCGATCAGCTGGAACTGATTTGGAACTACTCTGCGATTTGCTTCGTCGATTTCACTTTGATTTTGGTCGATATAATTAATTTTAACAAGCTTTTCATGGTTAGACGTATCTCCCGTGTGCATGGAAGAGACGTTCGAGATATCAGAAGTGCAGGAAACATCTCGCTCTCTCAATTCCGCACAAGTCTGGGTCTGAGTACTGGATTGCTGGGTGTAGGATTGTCGGTTTGCATTCATCGTCTCCATCTTGCTGCTTGTGCTATTTTTATCCTCAGTAATTTTGGAAAACACAGGTTCAAATGGCCCTGTCATGTCTGTCGGGGTCGGTGACGTCACAGTGGATGCTGCAATACTGACATCACCGAGAGTAGAGCCTGAAGTAGACAGGACGGATGTGTCGCGTTGGCTTCCGGCGGTGCTGCTAAGTTCAGTAATTTGGAAAGTGGCTTCCTGTAAAGAAGAAAAAATTTAACTTTATTGTAACTTTTCGCCTTTTTTCTTGAGTTTTGCAGGTCAATTACTGGAAACCAAAGAAACATTTGTTACATTACTCTCTGAAAGGCTCTATTACCTATATATTTCGATTCAAATTTGCTTGAAATATCATAACTTTGTTTCCGTCCCTTTAAGATATTCAACGAAAGATTGGCAGATCATGTTCGATGAGCCCGAGTCAAAAACGCTTCAGAATATGATTTTCATAATGCTCTGGGTCGCATCTTAGTACGGCCAGTACCCTGGGCCCCGTGTCCTGGCTCACACTCCATGGTCAGTACCTTGACTCAAATTATCTCCTGAGTCTCACCAAATGATATAATTCTCCGTTTACCTTCTTCGGAGCTGTGATGGTGAGGACGCCGTCTTCGGACAGTGCAGAAGTGACGGCTTCAGAGACCACAGGTCCCGGGGTGACGAAGCGCTGCCTGTAGCGTCGCTTGGTCGTTGAGGTCCCCGTCGTTTTGTCCACACTTGCCTCTACCAGGAGCTCGCTGTCTCCCACAGCCCTGATGTTGACGGTGCCTTCTTCAAAGTTCTTCACGTCCAGCACGATCTACAGACAAGTGGTCTGGGTAAACGGGTGGCAGAATCCAGTCCATGAAAGAAGGAACGACTGGACAGGGGCTGGACATGAACTCAACGGTTAAACTATATGGCAGGCACTGTCAATGGTGATGAATCGCGTAAAATTTAGAATTAGTGAGAGAAAGGTCCAAAGAGAAAGTAGAAAACTATATTTTAGGCATATCACCTTTGCAATCCTCCAGCTAGAATACACATCTTTAGGCATCAATTTCCCACACGGTTCGCCAACCTTGAGTTACAGGAACTCACTTTATAAGCATTCCCTTCAGACGTGACAACAGCGGCTCGGCAGTCATCTTGCAGGAGGCTGGACCTTTGTTGGGTGTACCAGTTGAGGGGGTCTTGGATCCCTGGGGGCGACGCCAGCCTCCTGAAGACGCTGTCCACGGCTCGCTCGAAGTGACTACGTGAGGTGTCAAAGAAGGAGTCCTTGAAGAACGACCCACGTGGAGTGATAGGAATCAAGGAGTTGCCAAAACCTCCGACGTTTATTGGCACGTTTGTCATGCGTTTTTCCAAGATGGTGGAGTTATCGTGAGACGTCGTCTGAGATTGGCTGGTGGTGGTTGAATGTTTGGAAATGCCCGATGTTTGCACGCTGGCGGATGGTGCTAAAATATGGCTTAGATTTGTGGTCGATGTTTGTCCCTCGACTTCGATAGGAACGATGTGTTCCCGGCCTGCATCACTTGCCTGAAACATCAACAGTAAAACGATCTCAAACAAATTACATATTTTCTTTACATCGTAGTAATTACCTGACGTTCATGCAGGATTAATCCTATTTTTACTCTTTTTCTATTGTTTACTCTCGACACAAGTCATTCATGCGTCACCATCGCACATCTCAATTAATGGTAACCTACTGTCGTTATCGAAGACACCTGCTTCTGTTGTTGCTCAAGTTGTTGTTCTTGGTGTTGTTGAGCCTGTGTTTGTTGTAGCAGTTGTTGTTCGTGGTGTTGCTGCACATGTTTTTGCTGCAGCAGTTGTTGCACCTGTTTCTGCTGTTGCAGTTGTTCTTGATTGCTCGCCGAAGTTCCCTCAATGGCGGCGGTAGTGTTGCGCTTCTGGTTCAAGCATAGAAGGAGGTTCCATTTACGTTATATTGCTAGAACATATTATATAGAAAACTAATAGCTATAAACATACTAATCGCTGTAAAGATTCTAATCGCTTAAACATACATATCGCCATAAACATTGGAATTGGGGTGCGTGGTGATTTAAAAATCCCCGGTCATATATACACGCTGCATAAAAGCTCTTTTACTAGCGTCAAAAAATTAAAAGTTCACACTCCTATATTAACAAAAAGTTCAAATAAAACGTATTCACAGCAATTCTAAGAAAAAAAGCTTAAAAATTTCGCTGTGCAACATCCTAAAAAAACAACATACTAAAACAATTTTGTCAAATTTGTCTTCCGATCAAATTTGTCTTCCCACCCTCCCCTCTCCACCCCTCAAGACCCCACTCTTATCATCCTCCTCCTCTCCCTCATCCTCCGCACGTTTTCCAATTATCTCTTCACACTCTCAAAAATAGCCGCAGTTGCTCCCTCAGACAGACCCGTAACCTTATTGCTGTCCACTCTTCGCTTGTTCTCTCATACGTCATACCCCACTTCGTTAATCTCACCAGCTTCATTCAGAATCACCTCCATCATAGACTGACGCTCTCTCTCATACGCCCCACATTCCATCAACAAGTGCTCTATAGTTTCCTTCTCATCCCCATCACATATAAAATATTTATCACACATAAAAAATACTAGTCGATGAACGTACAAATGGTTTTCATAAGCAACCACTTCAGTGCTAATCGCTTTAAAGGACAATCACAAAAAGCAAGAACAACTGGCACGGAGGATAGTTACTCACCCTTGGGGCAATGACGGTTAGGACGCCGTCAGGAGACACGGAGGACGTGAGGCCCTCAGTCTGGAGATCCTGGAACATGAGGCGCTGTTCGAACCTTCTCGAGCTGCTCTCGGTTCTGGTAGTGTAGGACGTGGGGCCCGAGGAGGAGGACGTTAGGCCAGATGGTGAAGACGTGGGGCCCGATGAGGAAGAGGAGGATTTCTGCTCGACGACCCCTTGGATGATGATCTCGTTGCCGCCAACCGCCTTCACCGTCACCGAACCTGCGCTGAAGTCCTTCACGTCCACCAGAATCTGTGGCGCAAGTTAATTTGAACTGAAAAAGTATAGTGGGTGATAGCACCAGTTTGATCCAGTGACACTAGTGAGAGGCTTTCATATGGTTACAAAAATTTGTAGATATCTGCTCGGAGGGTGAGTGGGTAAGATCGATATAAGACAGGAGTAGCGATGTAATGTTGTATGTAGGCTGCAAATTCCCTACTTGCATTCGGACCGTAGAGATTAAGTATACCGGCGCTGATGTAGGCAGAGGCTGGTAATAGTAGCTGTGTCAATCCCGGCTTGCGTGTTGGTGCCTCGCTTACAGGGGATTACCTGAGTAACCTGACCGTCGCCTAGGTGAGCTGTATTTTGCGTTACTGTTGAATACTGTTACTGAGTTATGCGTTACCGTGTTTCGTGTTAATGTTACTGTGCTTTTGTGTGTGTTTACTTATATGTGGCTTATATTGTAAATAATTAATCTGGCGTCATGTAAAGCCGTTGTTAGGGTAGTCATTAGGCGTATTAATTAACAGCGTACTTACTATGCTTATTTCTCTTCTAGGATCAAGAGCTTTGTCCCTCAGTTAGCTCGCTCTCTCTCTCCTCCGCGTCTTAGCTCCGTATTAGGCTACTTGTTAAGCTTCTTAGTAAATAAACCTTGAACTTGCATTTGTTATAAATTCCGTCCCGCCTTAAGCGTTGCTTCGTAGCCAATTGGGTAGCTATTTACATATTCAGCTTCCGGTAATTGGTAGGTGAGACAATGGTCAATGCGAACCGTTAGTTGAGGTTACCGGCGCTTGGTGGTCAGAGGCTGGTTCATCACAAGCGAGGTGAGGGTTCGAGACCGACAGCCAACTGTGAAAGTACTGGTCGAAATCAGCGAGGTGGTCCGGCAGCTAGGCACAGCAAGATTGGACCAGTGAGTTGTGTGTTCTATACCTGCTGCAAGCAAGGAAAATTCTACGATGCTCTTTTTCGACAACATGCTTGATGGCCTGATCTCCAATGCTGACACAGATGTATACGGAGAAACATTTTGAAAAACCCTTAACGTAAATAAAGTTATTATTTCAATGTCAAATTCAATTGGTTTTAGGTAAAATTTATCGTGGAATTCGCGATCTTCTCGAAGTTTTCGTGCACTGACTTTTTCTTGCCCACCTGGTAGCCGCTCAGTTAGCCAACTTAAATAAGAGTGAGCCTGACCAATAGCCACCAGTGAACCAGCTTAGCAAGCTCTGCTTTGCTAGGTACTTAATACTTTAACATAAAATCGGGCAACGTCTAAGTTTCTGCCAAGAACTCACGACACTCAGCTTAGAGCAATTCTGAATCTTATTGACCATCCGATCAAAATCTCTTTCTGGCCAGAACCAGAATTCCGATTTTATTGTCGCCTGGGAGTAGGAGAAGGGTGGGTTGGGCCAATTCAAACCGAGCTTGCAAGCTGCTTAGAGGCTGCACTTCAAGCATGGCCGAAAAGGACATTGAGCGGCTGATTTACATACTTCACGAGTCCTAGGCGTCATCTGTTGCAGAGTCGGGCCCGCATCCAGAATTTGTTAGGATAGTTAGCCAACCAAAAAAACTCAGTTATGAACTTCGAGTAGTAAATAGTTTGTTATGTAACTCTTAGTTATTCTATCTGTAGGAACTAAAGCCTTCATTCAAACTGCAGGTAGAATCTAGTAAGTCTGCCTAGCCTACCTGGCAGGCCCTAGCAAGCAGGAAAACCTACCAAGTAGCCCCCTATAGTAAGATGCCTAGCCTACTTGGTAGCCTTTTAGTAAGCTGTATAGCCTGAGTGATTTAGCCTCTTAGTGTGGCCTTTTTCTGGCGTTGGCAAGTTTCTCGCCACAAAATAATTCACCCACGCCAGCCTCTCTTCACGCCCTCACTCTCTTCATTAATCATTCCTTATCGTTAACCCTCCCTCCTTCACCTTATTTCAGTTCCTACACTTCTCCCTCTCATCCCTACCTACCATCTTCATCTCTTTTCTCTCTCTGCCTTTTCCAGCTCAGCACGCACGGTCAAATTAACTCACGATTTGGCACGTACTCGTATATTTTACGTAAGTACTCGTATACATTACGTACATGCTCTAAAACACTACTCACCTACTCGTATATTTTACGTAAGTACTCGTATACATTACGGAATGCTCTTATACACGACTCACGTACTCGTATATTTTACGTTAGTACTCGTATAAATTACGGAATGCTCTTATACACCACTCACGTACTCGTATATTTTACGTTAGTACTCGTATAAATCACGGAATGCTCTTATACACCACTCACGTACTCGTATATTTTACGTTAGTACTCGTATACATTACGTACATGCTCTTACACACTACTCACGTACTCGTATACGGCCACACGTACCTTGTAGCAGTTCTCCTCGGTAGTGACAGCGATTGCTTGGTCGTCCTCCTGAGGGCTGCGTCGACGGAGGCAGCGGTAGGACGGCAGCAGCGCCGCGTCGTCCAGGTCCGCGGCACCGTACTTGGCCATCACGCGGCGGATCGAGCGCTCCAGGCTGGGCGAGTCGCCACCCTTGCTAAAGTCGCCACCAGGGCGGAAAAAGGGTGTCTCGCTCCGACAAACGGGCGACATTACCACTTGCGCGGCGGCCATCTTGCTTAGTGGTGGAGATGTTTTCTTATTTTATCTCGTTATTTTATCGGTGCACTGTGACGCTTTTTTTCTTATGTATTTAATTTTCTATGAGCAATTTCGATATTTTACGGTTACGATGTGTGACTTCTGCCTGAAAGTAAGGGGATCAACATTTAACTCTATTTTGGCACTTGGAAGCTTCTCATTGGTATTACCTTGAAAAAAGGTAATTATTTTCAAGTTTTTATAACGGCACTTTGAGACTTATGACAGGTATTGCAATAAGCGTACTGGTAATTATCTTTTAGTTACTGGTAAATCGCAACGGTGGCGATTTAAGCGTATTTGTTTATGAGTTAAGCCTCAAGTCACGTCAGGTTTTATTGTAGAAATACCCTGTGTTAAGGTTTAGCTTCAAGAACCGAGCACATAGTGGAGGCGGCTGACTGAGGACTTCGTTGTACAAATTGATACCAATCATCCAAACGTCGCAAATTTATAAAGTGCATCAAAAATGACAGAGTAAATACGGCACTTCTGAATACATTCTATATTTTTTTGTATCGTAAGCTTCACAACGAACCACTGCATGTATACCAAACGACTAAATATTTATACCAATCAAATCGTGCTCTATTATTTCCAAGCAAGATATTAACACTATTTTTTCTCGCTGCCCACGCTTCGAGAAATTAGCGGGTTTTCGTCCAAATAGCTATGCAATTTTTTGTTTATGCGGGTCATCCTGACCCAGTTTGGCATAAGGACGTATATATGTGCAAGTGGACCACCGCTTATTGAGGGGTGGTTGAGAACTTGCTTAACGTATGTAAGATATACAACAAAATATAAACAAAACAAATCAACAGATACACCGCTTAAAATTTTATGTCACCGCTTAAAATTTTTGTCTTAAAATTTTGTCATGCCTCAAAATTTCTTGCCGCTTAAAATTAGCTTGCTTGTCTTAAAACTTTCATCCTTTATCTGTAAATCACAGCCTTTAAATGGCACTTGTGAAAAACGAGTGAGACATTTTTAAAAAAACGATGAACTTCTGGCACTTGTGTGGGTCACCCCTACCCAGTTGGTCCGACAACATACAGAGCGTATCAAAGGCAGATAGTACGTCCGTCACTACTTGAACAACATGACCCATTCACCTGTCTGAGTGTAGCTACTGTCAAAAGCAAGCGCAAGACTGAGCACTTGGGTGGGAATGCTGGGTATAAATGGAGGAAAAATTTGGCACTAGTTGCCGGGGCGCGCGCCTGCGGTGGGTGGTGCGTGCGTCAGAGGGTAAACAGAGGGTAATACTTTACCCTCAACAAATATTTAACTTAGGTTAACTATATATTTAACGAAATAACGACGTTGCCTGTACATCAATAATCGAATAATCGAGATGCTTTATCTAGTAATTTATTATGTTTATGATAACAAGGTAATATAATAATAATAATAATCATATGTGGTAAAATATATAATATAAAAACATATAATTATTCGATATTAAACTTATCAGTATCAATGTATTGAGTAATGCGTGATGTATCTTTTATTACGAATAATTGAATGATTAGCATGAAAGTCCTAGACGATTGATTGAACTAGTATTCATTGTCACAACCATTACTCAAAATAGTTACAACTATCACTCATGGTCAAAACTATTACTCCTAGCCACAACTACCACTCACTATAATCGTCAAAACTATTACTCATGGTTACAACTATTGCTCGTAGTCACAACTATAACTCATTTCAGCACTTATTACACATGGTAATAAGTGCACTAATTTATTTATATTATTCATCACTATTACTCACTTCATTCATCACTATTACTTACTTCATTCATCACTATTACTCACTAAATTGATCGCTATTACTCTCTAAATTCATCACTGTTACTCACTAAATTCATCACTATTACTCACTAAATTCATCACTATTACTCACTAAATTCATCACTATTACTCACTATCTCCAATGACTCAGCAAAGTAAGTGTGGCTGGCCGGTCTATTTTAGCGCCGCTGCGTGCCTGTGGCTAAGTATAGTGGCGAGGGCCACTAAGATGTGGCAATATAATCAATTGAATTGAATAATAAAGGTAATAATTCAAATTGATATGCTAATTAATTATTTAATTTTAATTATTAAATTAAACAGTAAGATAATGAATTAGTTTATATGTCGATTGACACTTGTTACTGATGCTGGTTGAAGCTGTTATATTTTATTTATGAAAACCATGAGTCAACAAAATGCATGATATTCTGATTTCTGATTCATAAGATGTTTTTAGCCTTTTTGCAGCATTCTTGAATAAATTTCGTCTGTTTGTATACGTTGTGATATAATAACATTCCAGGACATTTAAGCCATGACTATGGAGAAGACGACACTGAACAGATGTTGTTGGTTTCTCCAAGCACACGAAATTTTCAGTTTCTGCTATAGTTTTTCGCTTGGCAGTTTAGCGAAAAATTCCAGTTTCTGCTATAGTTTTTCGCTTGGCAGTTTCGCGAAAAAATTCCAGTTTCTGCTACTGTTTTTCGTTTGGCAGTTTCGCAAAAAATTCCAGTTTCTGCTATAGTTTTTCGTTTGGCAGTTTCGCGAAAAATCCCAGTTTCTGTTACTATATTTTTTCGTTCCGGAGTTTCGCAAAAAATTTCATTTTCTGCTATAGTTTTTCCTTTGGCAGTTTCGAAAAAAAAATTCAGTTTCTGTTATAGTTTTTCGTTTGGCAGTTTCGCGAAAAATTTCAGATTCTGCTATAGTTTTTCGTTTGGCAGTTTCGCGAAAAATTCCAGTTTCTGCTATAGTTTTTCGTTTGGCAGTTTCGCGAAAAATTCCAGTTTCTGCTATAGTTTTTCGTTTGGCAGTTTCGCGAAAAATTCCAGGTTCTGCTATAGTTTTTCCTCTGTCAGTTTTGCAAAAAATTCCAGATTCTGCTAAAGTTTTTCGTAAGTTACTTTTACTCAAAAAAATATTTACTGCCAAATACAAAATAATTTTTCAGAAAATTCGCGCCTGTTACAACACTCCACGTTCATGGGCTCTATGGCTTCGATTTAGTGATACTTAGTCCTAAATGCGGTCGACTTTTCACTCTTGTGTGGGTCATTCTGACACAGTTTTCTTTGTAAAATAATATATCAGTTCTACGTTCTCTATCTGCTCGTGCTATGGGCAAGAAAGTGTGTCACTATGTGGACAGTATGAAACATTAATTTTTATAAGTGCAGCGTTAAATTCCAACGGGACTTCTGGGCGCAAAAAACCTACGTTTTATATTAGTATGATAATAATAAAACAAATGATACTAAAAATAAGAATAAAAAATTAATTATAATAATTATGATAAAAATAACTATAATAGTAATAATAATGTTAATAAAATATAAACTATAATAATAATAATAATAATAACAATAATAATAATAATAATAATAATAATAATAATAATAATAATAATAATAATAATAATAATATACTGTAGCGGTGTTTGCTACAGTTTAGGCCATGTTAGGCTACCGCAAATTCTTCAACACGCGGCCACTTCGCTGATTTCAGGCAGAATTTATTGCGAATCGATATGATTATACAAACTTTGAATACATTTGATTATTTATAAGTTGGATACTTTGAATACACATACCATAATAATTAATTATTAATGGACCAAAAATATTTATGGTAAGCCGCGTTTTTTTGAAGCTCGAAATATTTGCAAAAATTTTGTCTAAGGAAGTTAATATCTAAATACGTTAACAATTATCAGCATTATGCGCTTGGCATCAGCGTGAAATAGGCGTTTCAGTGTAGACGAATCGGAAAAAAATTGGACGATGATTGCAGCGGCACATTTTTATTAATAAACTATATATTTGTCATTACCTATATAATATTTACAGATGTATCACATAGTTATTTAACTATTGTAAAGTACTTTTTTTAATTAATTTTGCCACGGTTATGGTCTCGGCAACTGCGTGCAACGTATGTTTTCAGTTCCAGTTCGCTGCCGAGCCTGGGAAATGTCGATCGGGTTATTTTTATCTATAATAACTGGAGGACGGCTACCCTGGCCTGGGAGGCGGTCAGTGATGCGTCAGCGGGCAGTAGTGTACTCAGAGGAATTCGTGAGACTTTATTCAAAAAGCGAAGCACTTTTTGCTTATGTTTGGGTCATCCTGGTTCTCAGTTTCACTCGGCTAAAGGGGCGCATCTGTCTGCCCTCTGCTCGTGCTGTGAGTGGGAAAGTGTGTCACTAATTGGACAATATGATACATTTATTTGTGTGAGGCATTATCTGGCAATATTATATCTAGGGACCATTTGGCGCTGGGTTAGTTTTCCTGAAATCTTGAATTAGTTTCTGGGAATTTAATACTGCTGATTTTGGTGAACTTTGTACGACATGATATGAGTAGTATTCCTTCGCCGGGTTGCGTCGAATCGTCATCAATGATCGTCATAAGAGGTCATATATATAGTAGCCGTAAATACAGGACCACTGCTTTAAACGTAATTGTCCTTACCGGAGGTTTACGAAAAGCGACGTTGGACAAAACAGGCTACGCTTTTTCATAGGATTAGGAGGTAACATCTTTTGCTGTATTGGAATCCCACGCACATCAGATGTAGTCTTGGATGGAACTGAATAGTGTTTTTCTTGCAATTTATATGAGAGTTTTATTTGGAAACCAAACGTTTCGACTAGCGATGCAAAGCATACGTTTGACTGCTAGTGATACTGAATATGTATTGGGCCTGCAATTCTGGCTATTGGTTGATCCTATACTGGCACTCACAATGAAGCAGTTATTCGCGCTTCGATTGGGAGTGCACAGTGCAGCCGTGGGCCGTAAATTACTTTTGAATTTACGCTAGATGCAATGATTATACTATGCTTCAGAAATAAAAAGCCATGACCACGCTATATCTCTATAAATCTGAACAGGTTTGCTCTGGGCTAGCATACTTTAAGCCCAATTTCTCATGAATAGAATAGAATATTAGTGTCGGGTCTGAAGTAATAGGCCCATGGCCCGTTGCCGATTCTTGTGCTTTTCGTGACTTGATTCACATGAGATCCGGCGTTTGGAACCCGATCTTTCCATAACTGACGATTTGAATGATATCTGGAATGATAACTGCTGGACTTATTGCCTGGTCCGTATGATGCAAGACATTTTAAGACTGAACATATGCTCCTGCATAGCTTCGTCTAGTCTGTTCTTGAAAGCGTTCATACGCGGAGCGTCTTCGATGCTATCAGGGAGGCTGTTCCACATGTCGGTGACTCGAAGCGAGAAGAAATGTTGTCGCATGGATGTGCTACAACGCAGTTTTTTTAGTCTGTATCCGTGGCCCCTGGTGTTAGTTCTTGTTTCAAATTCTAGTAATCCTCCTGGGACCTTGTATAAACCGTGAGTATACTTGTATACTTCACTGAGGTCACCACGTAGACGTCGATAACAGAGGTTTGGAAGCTTCATAATCTTTAACCTTAAAAGGAGCCATCATGGGAGTTCCGCTTCACATGCCTCGTGATTCCGCCTTCCCGCATCTATTAATCGGAAAGTTAGGTCTGTTAAGACGAAGTTATTTTGAGTGTTGGGGTTAGTGTAAAAAAACTGTAAATTAATTGCTTAAGTACTATGCCTCCTGTGAGGCCTGCCCCCGAAAAGAAATTTGTAGTAATTGTATAGTTTGAAATTCAGGACCCTTAACACTCAAACTGTCAAAATATTTTTGAAGATGGGAAAACAGTTTGCAACGCTTTTGCCAGGTTGAAGGTGCGTTCATGTTTTTTTTAGGTGACATGGGGATTCAGGTGTAGGTGTTGATATCGGCAGTGTTTTCGTCGATGAACCCAAGTCCCAACTATGGCAGAAATTCCGGTAGATGGGTTTTCAAATTTTTTTTGCATCGTTTTAAAAAGTTACCATTATTTTTATTCATGGATCGAAAAATCCTTACGAGTCAACAATATTTAAATTGGTAATATATTTATTGCACTTGATTTCTTAAAAGCCTTTCCTAATATTTTCAGGTTCTCATTTAGACGTAATACAAATTTTTAATTCTTATATTGAGAATTTTTTCTATATTGTGCCCATAAATTGTTTACTTCTGTCGTTGTCTTGATGATCCGAATATCTAAAACAGATGAAACAGACAAAGAACTGCAGTCCTCATCCCGCAGCCTGTGTTGACAGGTTAGGTATTTACGTTCACTGCTGTGTTATGAAGTATTAACGATAAATACTGTTGGATTGATTTTTTTACTAAAACTTATATCATTTCGTCATGGTGAAAGAAGAAACCAAGAAAGATAATGAAGTTAAAAAGCCTGAAGCGAAAAAGGCTGATGCTGCCAAGGAAGTTGAACTGGTATGAAATAGAAAATTAATCATCCTAACTTTTTGAATGACTTTTGAAGATTTAAATTAGGAAAATATTAGAACCGGCCTGCCAATAAAGTCTGGAATTTTTGCAAAATCTTTTATTATGGGTACCATCAGCATCATTCCACGCCATTACTAACTTTCCTCCTCATTCAGTCATTGACATTTCCATAGCCCTAGTTAGGTAGCCTAGTAAGCCTACTAGGCTAGGAGTAGGGTACATAGTGGCAAACCACAGCTTTTTTAGAATCAGTTCATTTTTAATTTCCTCTTTACCAAGATTTAAATTAATTTCTTATCAATCTTATGTATGATACTGCTGGTATCTAGGATACTTTACTGGTCTACTTATAGGACTCACAAATGAACTTGAGGGAGAGTCTAAAAAACTCTGCTTTGCCACTATGCTAGGGTAAACGCGGTATATTCCGACATCGTAGGTAATTCCTGAATTCGAACACGTGGATGTCGGCAATACGTATCAGTTAAATTTAAAGCGCTGACGCAATACGACTCACCACGTGGCGAATATTGCCACACAAAGTGACGGAATATAGGGATTTGGTAGGTTTCCATTCTAAAGGCATTTTAATAAATATGGCTACATTTTGTGACGTTTCATCGTTGCTGACGCGCAGTGAAGTGTTTTGAGAGTCATGTGAAGGCAACAGAACTTACGTAACGCATACGTTTTTTTTATAGTTTTTCATTTCTTGATGCGTCCTTAATGTGTCGGAATATACCGCGTTTACCCTATGTGCTGTGCTCCAATTTTTCATTTTCCAAAATTGAGATAGCCTATAAGAAATTTAGATTGAAGTGAATAATGCTTAACAAAAATTATTAGTACCTAAGTTGACCACTTGACAGTTGACCAGGATTTGGCTATCACAGCCAGCTGGGGCTGCAGGGTCAAGGCAGCAGCCCCAGCTCATTCTGGAAAATTTGGCATCAGTAAAATGTGAATGAGACTTGAGAGTATAAAACAAAAGAGCCATGCTTTTTGCTCCTGGCCAATTTTATCAATTTTCATTATTCTTTGCCTAATTTCTTTCATAAAATGTAGGGAAGAATGGTAGGTATAGACCATAGTGGCAAAGCAGAAAGTTTTTTAGACTCTCTTTCAAGTTCATTTTTGAGTTCTATATGTAGACCAGTAAAGTATCCTTGTTTCTTGATACCTGCATTGTCATACATAAGAAATTGGTATAAATCTTGAGTTATTGAGGGAATTAAAAATGAACTGATTCCAAAAAAGCTCTGGTTTGCCACTATGGTATAGACTATAGGCCATGGTCCGGAAGATGTGCCAGGTGCGCGGGAATTTATATTGTCATTTAACGACCTGCGCGGTGCGCCGTACTATGCCGGTAAAAAAATGCGCCATGCGCCGTACTTTTAGAAAGCTAAAATAGTTTAAATATGGACGCGTGGCCATAGTGGCAATCGAGAACATATTTTTTTTCTAGGGTAAACATACAATTTCTGAACGCAAATTAAGCATATGCAATGCATCACAATTTTATGAACGCCGATGGCCCGATGCAAACAGTCAAAATATAACTCGGTTTAAAAATAAATTTACATTTTAAAAAATTAGTTTTTACATATCTCTGTCTCCAATGTTAGTAGGTTCTGCTCTGCTGAGACGACAATGCAAGTTTGGTACTGGCAGCGCAGGCATTGACAACCACACGTGGCGCCAGTTCACATACGTCTGGCAACAACAACACTCGTTCAAAACTTCACGTTCAAAGATCAGATTTAGAAGTTGAGTTCGTTCTCAGGAGCTGCATTCTTGGTATATGGTATTTGATAATTGCAATGGGATTCTCTAATATAAGGGATTACCAATCCCAGCAACACAAAGCAGGGATGGATGTTGCCATAACAAAAGGTTTCTTAGACTTTACTTGGAAGCAGGAAGGGGTTTGTAATTTCTTAGAATAACCTTAATGATAGAGGTAAAAATAAAACGACCAACTTTATATGTTTATTGTAATGGAGTTACATCTAAAATGGACACGTGGGAGTGTATATATGTATACCTATTTATCATAAAATTACTGATACTAAATCACATATTCTACAAATAATATCTACCTATAGAGGAACCTCATGTCTCAAAAATACAGCCCCAAATAATTATTGTTAAATTTTTGTAAAAATACGATTCTTCTCTGCTTTTTTGTAATCATTTTATGCTCAAAATTGGTTTTCAAAGAAACTATGGTGCTCTCTCTCACTTGCGTCTCTCACTAAGGTGCTCTCTCGGACATTGTCCGAGACGTCTCTCACTTGATGTAAATATAAAAAGGCCTGAACAATTTCATATACATTCATTTAACAATATCTTTGATATCATCTATGAAATTTCAAGAAGCTAAATATTACAGCAACCAATCTAAATAAGCTGTGCCGTGGTTTGCATATCATTAATCTTTTGTTTCCGTAAGTTATGTATGACCATGATAGCAAATTTGACCTCAACTAAATGAGTGTCAATTTTGTAAGTAATATAGTAAGCTATTTTATAATTAACAAGCCGGTATCTAGTTTATAGTTTAGACAAAATTTATAAGGTTATCTGTAAAAAATGTCTTGTCATCTGGAAATAATTGCTAAAATTTGAATTAACCAAAATTTGAACAAACTCGTTTACCTTATTCTAGTGACTGAATCCCAATCTAACATGTAACAGCTGGGATTCCTTGGAACGGGGGTACTGTTTACTTCTCGATCTTGTTGTGGCAACAGCAATCGGAAGCCATTGTGGTTACCATTGTGAACCTGTGATACAAAACATAAATCAAATCAAAAGTAGAACATCAAAAATAACAAACTTTGAAAATACTTAATACATGCCATATCCGGCCCAGTGTAGTAAAATAACAAAAAGTGAACATAAATTACGAAGTTATGAACGCGTCTGAAAATGAGTCGGGCAAAAAATTTGTTTGCCACCATGCGCGCGGCCATGCAAATTACGTAATCTCACTGACCATACACACAAACGTGTAGGCTATCCGCATTGTGTTGTGGTTGGATATGAGTTGCCTAGATTGCTAACGTGTCAACTCAGGACTCAGGTTCTAAGAGTCAGCACAGTAATGAATATTCATTCATAGATCTATTAGATCATAATTCAATCGGACATGAATTACAGAACTAAAGAAGGCAACATGGCTTTATATGTGCCATCGGTGCCTTCTAATGAATGACTGGACTGGTTGCGGCAAGTAGGGTATGAACCTGTACCGTACAGGTTCACACCATACTGTTATGTGCGGTATGAACCTCATACCATAAATCGTACTGTTGACGTACAGGCTGTACGTCAACAGTGCGATCCTGCATGTCAATGTTAGGACTATATTACCGACATCCTCCCGGCTGGCAAAATCGATATGATCAATACCTAATAACAATGCGCATAAATGGACTATACAAATTAGGTCAATATGGCATAATTACAGAGCGTAAGTATGCTACGGTACGTGATATAAAATATGAATATATATATTTGCAAGATAAGTCAATGGTCTGTCGTTTATTTTTGCTTCATTTGAGCAATCATGGTTTCCAAATCTGGGTGCGTTATGTTATGTCATGCATACTTTGAATGTGCAAATATTATAACTATCATGTGAAAATTGTTACGTAGGTTATCATAGCATGAATCGCAATAGAGTATCAAGATTGCAGTTCTGCCACCACCCTTCATTGAATTATACCGCCTTTTTTCTAAAATTCAATAATCTCTCTTCCAACAAAGTTTGCAAAATTCATTAGCTGCATAAAATACTCTCTGCTGTGGTATTCGAGTTTCGGTTGACATGATATCCGTTTGCTTGTTTGACACTAATTTTGTAAAGGTTGCTTCAGATAAATTAATCGTTGCCATTCCCATGTTCCACCCTCAATTTAATGTAGTTAACAATATTGAATGGCATTATTCATACAAATTGTATCTATTAAATTTTACATTTTAAGATCTGATGGAAGCGGCCAGCATCCCTAACAATATGAGGATGTATATAAAAACATTAATGATCTAGGAGCGGGCTTCACAAAAAAAAAAAAAAACATTTCAACGTGGCTATAATTAAATAAAGATCATTACTTGTAGTATAATAAACATGAAGTTTCCCTATTAAAAAGTTATATTCCGTTGGTCATCAAAGTTTATATCAACTACGCGAGTCAAACTAACAATAATAAAATGTAAGAAATGTCCGGGACTCCGGGTTACTTCTGACTCTTCCGCTTGTCGGATACGGAACATACGGTAATCGTAAACTGAGGCTATTAAACATACGAAATGTAAAAATACGGTATTCAGTGTTGCCATATGACTTTGGAGATAATTTCTTCCAAAATAAAGTTCTAGATTTCTCATTCACCAAATTTCCGTATCAAGAAAAATCATATATTATTGAAGGATAATTAAAGGCATACCGTAAAATGGGGTAACTTTGACCGCTTTTTTATTTCAAAACAATGCAATTTTTTTACTAGATAAGTTAAACTTAAATTGAAACCTGCAAAATACAGGTCTATACTCTAGCTTTACTCACCATAAATTGCTGGCTCCAGCCTCTCATAGTTTTGATGTAATTTTAAAAAAAAGTGATGGTCTTTGTTACCCCAGCTCTTGGGGTTTCTTTGACTGGGTAGTAAAATCAATTTTATTTTTTGGTAAAATAACTCCAAATAACTCCAGGTTGTGGTGCATTGTAGTAGAACTCTTCTAGTTACATATGCAAAAGATAGATTTTAGGAAAGTTTCATAGTTTGCAAATGGGGGGTGCCGCCCCCCCAATGGGTGAAATGTGACCACCTAATGGCAGCCGTGATGGGGTAACATTGACCGGTTTGGAAATTAAGTTAAAATTACCATATATAAGACTCTGTAGAGTCTGAAACACGGTTTGGAAATTAAGTTAAAATTACCATATATAAGACTCTGTAGAGTCTGAAACATAAAGAAAAAAACATTAATAGGTGTATCAAACATAAAATATGTTATATAGCTTAATATAGGTACCTATGGTAATTTTAACTTAATTTCCAAGCCGGTCAATGTTACCCCATCACGGCTGCCATCAGGTGGTCAAAGTTCCCCATTATGGGGCAGTGCCCCCCATTTGCAAACTATGACACTTTCCTAAAATTTGTTTTTTGCATATGTAACTAGAATAGTTTTACTACAATGCGTCAAAACCTGAAGTTATTTTACCAAAAAAATAAAAAATCGGAGGGGGTACTCAGACACGCTTTGAATAATAGCTCTTTTTTGTGGGTCACATTATTAATTTTTAAACCTATTAGATATGCAAACTTTTTAAATCTTTCTATTGTGTTACATAGCCTCAGTATTAGGCCTTTGATGGCCATTGACAAAATTTTCCTATGTCAAATCGTTTTTGAGTTTTGGGGGTTTTTGTTAAAAAAAACAAAAAGTGGTCAAAGTTACCCCGCCGGTCAAAGTAACCCCATTTTACGGTACTGTACTGAGTATTGCGTCTGTTCCTCCACAAACTGCTCTTGTGCGACGTAGAATTGATGGCCGGGATTGCGCGAACTGCAGAAGTCAAGATCAAAGAACCACACCGCAAATCATTCATTCACTAATAAGTGCTAATTGCATAAAAAACACAGGCACCGGAAGAAATCTATCTTAATTATAAATTTTCATTTTTATTGCAACGATGAAGGTTAATTATAGAGGCAAACAACAAACATTAATGAAAATGAGAATAGCTTCAGAGGGACACATCACACTCGAAGTCGAAGATCGTTCAGCGTTACTTGAAATCTACAGAGGTGTTGCCATTCCATTCAGATGAAAACTGTGTCTAAATCAGAACTGTGTCGGACAGTTCCACGGCCCGCACGGCGCGCAGAGTGCTGCACGCCGTGGAATCAATGACCGTGATTTGCACGAACGTGTGCACGAAGAAAATATGAAAAACTAAAAATGCGCAGGAAATTTCACCGTTTATATACATCTTCCTGAGTGTTGACTATAGGCTATTTTGGCTCATGATTTTCAAAAATTAGCTATAGAATAATAGTTTCTACATTTTAGAAATGAAAATGCGGGGCACCGCATAACTATGCTGGTGCCCTGACCCATCGAGATTGACGATAGCTGAGGCCCTCATTATCAAGAGCGAGTCTCCGGCTATCAACCTCCAAACTACTGGATTCGTCCGGACGCTGAAATTATTTTCGGAGTAATTTTTAAGCTAATATTTCGTATTGTATCCACTTTACCTTTGATATGTACTTCTGTCATTTCAAATTCAATTTCAGATGTTGTAAAACCTTCACCAGCTTGATAATGTAAATTGTATTTTCGAAACGTCGCAATCTATTAAAATGTCATTCGGAAACCTGCTTTTCGATCTCCCGGCTCCAGCTAGAAATTTGGTTTGACTCATTGAAAAGACAAACAAGAAGATTGTAAATAAAAAGCATGCTCTGGTCTTCAATCAAACTTGCATAAAAGAGAAGCTTCTGCCGAACTACACCAAATTCATTGAAATAAATATATTGTATAATACTACTTACTTTCTTGAAATGGTTACTGAAATTTTAATTTCTGGATATTTCAATGCTTGCTTGCTAAAGGGTTAAAGTCCAAATGGCCAATCATAGCTCGATGCGTGTTGTAGATATACGTGTTGCCAGCTGCAGCCGGCAGTGCGTTTTGAACTGGCGCCGCGTGTGGTTGTCGATGCATGTGCTTCCAGTCATGCACTGTTGTCCGTCTCGATTCTACTAGTGTACGAGTCAGAGCACTCAGAGGTGTCTGGTGCGTAAAAACTAAGATTTTTTGTTAGCTGATTTTAATGAATTGTACTATTATGATTGTTTAACATTCGCGTTCATAAATTTAGTCTGCAATGCATAGGGCTTGATTTGCGTTCAGAAATGGGATGTTTACCCTAAAAAAAAAAACGTGTTCTCGATTGCCACTATGGTCTTATTTAATGCATTAATAAGACATGTATGCATTAATAAGACATGCATTAATAAGGCAATGTGCATTAATAAGACATGTATTTTTAGAAACATTGTGTGCTAAATGTGAGGGACTGAGGGCCATTCTGGATTTGAAGTATACTTTGCTAAGTTAAATTAGTTAGTTAAATTCAAGAATAATTAGTTAAATTAACTAAAATTAGTTAGTTAAATTCAAGAATAATTTTCTATCCTGGCTGTTCATAGAAAACTTGTTATAAACAGAGTACTAGCATACTACTTGTTGTGGAAGTTATGTATTTTGTTGTATTCATGTCCAGTCTCACAACACAAATCCATCAAAAATCAAGTTTCTACTTTTATGATTAATTTGACGCACAAAAACACACGTAAATATTTGAATATATTTTTAATGCTAATATATTAGCAAGACTAAGATCTAGCATCTAAAATTAACAATAAATTTATAGTTACATTCAGTCCCCACTGTTATTTTTTTTCAAGAAAACCAAGATGTTTGATCTGAAACCAAAAGAACCAGAACCTTCTTGGATGAGAAAACCAAGATGTTATTATAGAATTTTTAGTGACCTGTTTGAACAAAATGTAATTTTTTTGACATATATACATGTACAGATATGTTTCTCAGTTTCAAATGTATCTAAATTCATGCTCAATTATTGACTTTTCATAATATTTGCAAGTTAATGACTTAAATTTGGCATGATCATCAACTTTGGGTTGAACACAATCAAATTTTTCTGGTCATTATGACCTGAAAGAGGAGATTAATTTACATGTTACATGGCAGTTGGTCCTTCATTGTGACAAGAGGTTGTGAGCTTTGTTGCGGATGCCTGGTGCGGGCAGTCTTGCAGCAATGCATTGGTTCCAAATGTCAAAATGCCACATTCTTCTAGATTTAAGATGGAATGCCACCAATGCTCAAGAAGCCAAGCTTAGGTTAACACTCGTGTAACCCTAATTAAAAAATTGGTCAGAGGCCACAAATTGGACAGAATCGCCCATAAATAATTTGGCTCATTTCCCCTATTCCTATGGATGTTTCCTACTTTCTTCAGGAAATTATAATTTCCATAGAAAACTAAGAAAACTATTTTGGCCTATTTTTATCTGCAATTTTCAAAAAATAACCCATGATACAATCATTTTAATTTTCCAATTTAGGAAACTTCCTGATATTCCAAATTGGCTTGTAACAAAAATTTAGACTTGATTTTTTCTGCAGGATTAAAATATTAGATTATTTCTTCTACTTCCCTTCAAAACCATCTTAAGATTTGTTGTCCAGAATATTTGAGAAGATAATGTTTTAGAAAAAATTCTGTCCCCACAGTCTGATGAAGACCGGCAGCTGAAGGAGGAGCTTGAGTCTCTGGTGCTGGGGCTCCACAGCCAGCCCTACCATGCAGCCAACAACAAGGCTGCCCTGCAGCAGATTGCTTCTCTTATCAAATCAGCTACAACGTCCATGACCAGTGTACCCAAGCCTCTAAAGTTTATGATTCCTCACTACAAAGAAATGAAGGTTAGCTTCTTCTCCAGATGGAACCATTTTCACTGAATAATTATGGCTTAATCAATTTCTGGTAGTAGATATATGGTATACACAAATTTGAAATTGCCATAGGTTGGCTTCTCTGTGGCTATTAGAAATCTTAAAAATGAGACCAATTTAGTTATCAAAAATGCATTACTGGTATATAAAACTGAAAAATTAGTCCTTTAGATTTGCAAGTTTATAAAGAACATTTTAGATGAAATAAAATATAAAAACTTGGTTTAGATCACTTGAAAATTTACATGTCAATTCAATTTTTTTGAACAACTGAGTGTTTGATTTGGTCACCACTTGGTAACGGATATAGGTACCTATACATAGTGAAAAAAAACTAAAAACTGTAGTCATGACTGATAATTTAGTGTATGCAAGTTGTAATTATATTTCTGTTCCTGCTTTCAGGAAGTTCATGAGAAACTAGAGAGCCCTGAGTTGCAAAAATTTTGTTCTGACATTTTGTCAGTGTTGTCCATGACTGTGTCAGAGGAGCGCGAGTGTCTCAAGTATAGACTGACTGGCCTGCGGGAGGATGTGGGGGCATGGGGACATGAATATGTCAGGTGAGTTCTGGTTTTTGAGTTTGTAAAATAAATGGCAACTGCTTTTGGATTGCTCATCCTAGTTTAGTGATAAAAATTTCTACCTCCAGGAAAAATACTTTTTTTTTTGTGCTATAAAAATGCACAATAGTAAGCTTGATGCATATCTAAAAAATTTTCTTGCAGTCCACGTTTCCATCCTAGATCACTACAATTTGTCATAAGGCTTATGAAAAAATGAGGCATCAATAATACTGTTTTCTCTAAATCAGTTCAAAACTAAAATTGTCATCCAAGATTTGTGTCTCTGAGTTTAGTGCTGTGGATAAATGTTCTTGATAAGAGTTGAGTTTTTTTTTATTCATGTTTTGTAATTGAAAAAATTGTGCCTGATATTAGGCACCTGGCTGGGGAGATTGCAGCAGAGTGGGAGACCCTGATGGAGGAAGATGTGGCTAAAAAGAATGAGCTTATAGCTGAAGCCAAGTTAATTGTGCCGTACCATATGCAGCACAATGCTGAGGCAGAGGCATGTGACTTGTTAATGGAGATGGAACAGCTCCAAATGCTCACTGAAGGAGGTGAGTGCCGGCTATTCATGACTTAAGACCTGTGAACAATGCATGCAGTATTTGCAGATCCAAATGCTTACTTACTATTCATGACTTATTGACTTAGGGAGGTGAACAATTCATATGCTATCACTACTATGTGTAGCTCCATATGCTCACTGTAGGCGTGTTCTGGCCATTTATGACTGGGGGTGTGAACAAGGCTTGATGTAAGTGTAGTTCCATTTGCTCACTGATGGAGGTTAGGTCTGAGTATTCACAACACAGGAATCTTACTTTACTCAAGCTACTTAACAGAATCTTTATGCAACCATACCTGAGCTCTTCTCCTGCAGATGTTGTCGACAAGGAGGCATATGAACGCGTGTGCCTGTACCTGACAAGCTGCGTGCCCTATGTGCCTGAGCCTGAGAACAGCGAACTGCTGCGCACCGCCCTCGCCCTCTACAGGAAGTTCTCTCAGTACCCTCAGGCCATGCGTCTTGCGCTGCAGCTTCATGACATGGCGCTCATTTCCGAGCTTTTCCAAGAGTGCCCTGACAGACTTGTAAGCCTTACCTATTGTCTCTGTTTAAATTGTAAGCTCCATTAATAAATGTTGATTATTCTCTTCATAAGCTTAATTATTGTCCAACTTCTGGACAATAATGCAATTATTGTCCAACTTCTGGACAATATGTATGCTTGATACATAAATGTTGTCAAATAAATTTATTAACAGTTCTAAATAATTTATAATTCTTTTGCTTGCCTTTCAAGGCTACAACAATTCACAGCATTTTATAAAAATTGTTCCAAATTTTTCATTTTGATTATAAATTATAATATGAAATCTGACTGATGATGTGCTCGCATAAAGCTTGTTTTGTCAAATTTTTATACACTTGCTCTTGGCAATGAAAGATTTTTATATATGGAAGCCTTGCTAATAATTGTGTGCATTACAGGTGCGCATGCAGCTGGCATTCATGCTGGGCAGGCAGCAGGTGTTCCTGGAGCTACCTGACACCATGGAGGACTGTGAGGACCTCAACGAAATTCTCAGCAATGCCAACCTGTCAAACCACTTCGTGGCCCTTGCCAGAGAGGTGCTAATACGCTGTAATTGGTTCTAAATCTATCAACTACAGCACTCTTCTCATTATCGAGGGAACTACAGCATTCTTCTCATCTATGAATTAAATCATTCTTCAAATAATTTTCATCATTCCATTGTCTCCATATACCTACTGCAGGGCTCGTAATAGTAAACGTTATTCCAAAAACGTTATGTATTATTAATTTCAACATTTATCATTGCTTTCACTTTTATATTAACTACGATCAAAAAGAAAGTTTCTTCTTCCATTGCAGACATGTGGCTGTAAAGTTTAGCCAGAAAGAGTTGAACTCATCAATAAGGTTTTGCTTGCTAAGTTGCAATTGTCTCAAGATGAAAATTATGCAAGATATTTAATTATTTTAGTGTATTCACTGTTGATGATGCTGATTTGTTCGTATTCTAATTGCATAATCAAGAAATGCATTATATATGTCTATTATCTGCGGGTGAATTTAAACTAACTGATTGATTGATTCATCTTTCCCAGCTTGACATCGTGGAGCCCAAGTCCCCTGAGGACATCTACAAGTCGCACCTGGACACTCGGCCGTCCTTTGGCTCCAACCAGGTCGACTCTGCACGCCAGAATCTTGCATCTTCCTTTGTCAATGGCTTTGTCAACGCTGCCTTTGGCACTGACAAGCTTCTCACTGAAGATGGCAATAAATGGCTCTACAAAAACAAAGAGCACGGTGAGTGTGTATTACAATGAAATGGTTCTGGCGGGTCGGTGATGGTCGTAGAACTACCTGCGGCCTTAATGCACTGAAAAAACCTATCAATCCCTTCCTTAGTTGCCACAACTAGGATGGGCAATTATTTAAAAAAGAAGCACGGTAAGTGTTTTCTTTGCTTGTCAATAGATATTACTACTAAGCAACATTTAAGGAAACTTCTGAAAGACAGTTTTTGATTATTCTCAATAGAGAACTGGAAACAATTAAGCTTTTAATTGACTGTCCTAACTAATCTGACTGATAATCCTAATTATTTTATTATTGCTCACAGGTATGATGTCAGCCACGGCGTCGCTGGGTCTCATCCTACTTTGGGACGTTGACGGCGGGCTCACAAAAATAGATAAATATTTCTATGCCTCTGAGGACTTCATTAAAGCAGGAGCCTTGCTTGCTTGTGGCATCGTCAGCAGCGGAGTCAGGAACGAGTGTGACCCCGCGCTGGCGCTCCTCACAGAGTTCTGCTCCCACAAGGTCCAGGTGAGCCCTTGGCTTCCAGACGTGACTAGGTTCTGCTCCCACAAGGTCCAGGTGAGCCCATGGCTTCCAGACGTGACTAGGTTCTGCTCCCACAAAGTGCAGGTGAGCCCATGGCTTCCAGACGTGACTAGGTTCTGCTCCCACAAGGTCCAGGTGAGCCCATGGCGTCCAGACGTGACTAGGTTCTGCTCCCACAAGGTCCAGGTGAGCCCATGGCGTCCAGACGTGACTAGGTTCTGCTCTCACTAGGTCCAGGTGTGCCTATAGCACTCCGACATGTCTTGATAAGCTTTTGATAATTTATCAATTTGTTTCATTGTTATGTTTGTGATTCACGCATTTTTTTAATTTTCTGCTTTGTTTTGCTCTACGTTTAGTTTCATTGGAGAATAATATTCAGGGTAGAGCCTTTCAGCAAGATATTGGTTAAAGAAAGTGCTATTTGCATTTTAGTGCAAAAATTTTTATGTACTAAGTCATTCTTATTAATTAAACAGGTATTGAGAAATAACATTAAAAAAATCCTCCAGTGCAAATACTACATCAACTGGAGTTCCTTATGATGAATTGGTCCAATGGTTAAAAACTGTTATTGTGGCACCAGATTCTGCGAGTGGGCAGCGTGCTGGGTCTTGGCTTGGCATATGCTGGCAGCAATAGAGATGACGTTATCAAGGTAAACATTAATTGCCCTTTAATAAGAATATAGAAGGTTATTTTTGTTAGAATATATGATTGAAAATGAAATTTCTACAAGGAAGGAAATGTTTAGCATGGCAAACACTTGCTCCATATTGAAATAAAATATTAACCTGTATTAATACGAGACCTTATAAACATTTTTCAAAAAGCAACACTAAATACGAAGCAACACTATACACTAAATTGTACTTGCAGGTGCTGCTGCCGCTGCTGACTGATGAGAAGAGCTCGCTGGAGGTGGTGGGGGTGACGTCGGTGGCGCTAGGCCTGGTGGCCGTAGGTACCACCAACCAGGAGGTGGGCGAGGCGCTGGTCACCACGCTGCTCGCCAAGTTCCCCTTCCAACTCAAGGACCCCTTCGCCAAATTCATTAGCTTGGGGCTGGCTCTTACTTATCTCGGTGAGTTATGAGTGTCTATGGCTCGCACAAATATAGGTGACTCATGCCTCACGACTGTCGATAATTAGAATGGATGTACTCCTCCTGGCAAATGTCGTTTAAGCAACGTTTAATTGACATTATCTGAACGTTGGATGCGTGGTGAGACGTTTGTTTATATTGCTGATATTTCGTCGATAATGTGTTGCATTATCCATATGCTTGTCTTTCATCGTGTCATTTACAATGTTGTTTACCTTGTTGTTTACCATGTCGTTTACCAAGTCGTTTATCATGCAGGCTGTCAGGACAAGTGTGAGGTGGTGCTGTCTTGCGTGGAGGGCCTGCCTTCCCCCTTCAGGCAGATGACAAAGACCCTCATTGAGGTAGCCTTCTGCAGCCAAATAAATATTTAATTGTTATCTCAGCAGATCGAGCAACGAGTTTTGTTTAACCCTTGTCTGGCTGTACAATTTTACAACCCCAATTTTAACCCTTGTCTTATCGAGTGTTGGTACAGTTGTAATTATGCAGTCCTACAAGAATTGAATTTAGCATACGTTTTTTGATACGTGTTGATGCTTTTATTTTTTAATTAGCAGTGTGTTTTTCACTAGATAAGCGTTGATGCTGGGCACTGAATGCATACCTATATCACAACTGAATATTTATTTACAGAAAAAATGTTTTATGGCCAATTCACCAGACCAAACATGAAATATTGTTTAAATAATCACGCTAATTTCACTGTACGAGTATGAATGTTGAGCAGGTGTGCGCATATGCTGGCACTGGCAACGTGCTGAAGGTGCAGGAAATGCTGCACATCTGCACAGATCACTACGAGACTGACGATTCCTCCAGCTCCTCCAAGGCCAAGGATAAGAAGGAAAAGACCAATAAAGATAAGCAAGATAAGGAGAAGAAAGATGAGGCTGCTAAGGAGAAAGATGCCAAGGAAAGTGAGAAGAAGGAAGATGACAAGGAAGTGGACCTGTCGTCGCAACAGAGCATAGCAGTTCTAGGTGAAATTGTGTGGCCGGTATTTCTTTGCTGGCGGTTTTAGAAGCGATTTGTTTCCTATATTAAATAATATACTGCACCTGCTGATACGGCAGTAGAAAGATTTATTCTACTAACAATAGTCCTTATTTCCAAGCTTTTATTTACTTTGAAACAGGTACTGAATTTATCTTTGATTCATTTCTCCCGTATTTACCTTTGTAATTAATTTTTGGATTTTTTTCTTGCTTAGAATGTTTTTATGGCTTTCAACACAAGAATTTTATTCATCTGTGAGTCTTACCAAGTATATATTTCTCCATTCATTAGAGTGCTTGCAACTCATCAGTGTTTGTCCCTATCACAGGCATTGCTCTGATCGCCATGGGTGAGGACATCGGAGCGGACATGTGCTTCCGGCAGTTCGGTAATTTGCTGCGGTACTGCGAGCCTGTGATCAGGAGAGCCGTGCCACTGGCGCTGGCCCTGAGCAGTGTGAGCAACCCTAAGCTCAACATCCTCGACACCCTCAGCAAGTTCTCTCACGACTCCGACCACGAGGTCGCCCACAACGCTATCTTCGCCATGGGACTTGTCGGGGCGGGCACCAATAACGCCAGGTGAGTGGCGGGGCGGGCATCAACACCAGGCGAGTGGCGGGGCGGGCACCAATAACACCAGGTGAGTGGCGGGGCGGGCACCAATAACGCCAGGTGAGTGGCGGGGCGGGCACCAATAACGCCAGGTGAGTGTCGGGGCGGGCACCAATAACGCCAGGTGAGTGGCGGGGCGGGCATCAACGCCAGGCGAGTGGCGGGGCGGGCACCAATAACACCAGGTGAGTGGCGGGGCGGGCACCAATAACGTCAGGTGAGTAGTTATTTCTAGTACAGATTATAAAGTGAAATGAATGCTCACAGTCTAACAACGTACCGGAAATGAAAAGTTGAGTGCAACTAAAGATCTAGTAATAAAACCTGAAAAATTTTAAATGACGGGCTGTCACAAAAATAAATTAACTCTAAAAACTTGACGTGTATTCATCTACGTTTCTCCAGGTTGGCGGCGATGTTGCGTCAGTTGGCACAATACCACGCAAAGGACCCAAACAACTTGTTCATGGTACGTCTAGCCCAGGGCTTGACGCATCTGGGCAAAGGCACAATGTCGCTCTCACCATACCATTCCAATAGGCAGCTCATGGCGCCCGTGGCAGTGGCTGGACTTCTTGCCACTTGCATGGCATTCCTCGACACCAAAACATGTAAGGCTTTAAGTTAAATTTGCTTGTGATTTGAAAATTTTCTTCGTACCGAAGTAAAGCAAAAACCATTGCACAAGCATTGAATATTTTGGGATGTGTGTTGAAGGCCAGTAATACCCAACTTCACACTTTATTTCATATCCCTTTCCGTGGGCATAGAAGCCTATGAAGTTAGGTACCTGAAGCCATCCTAACGTAAATCCACTGCCAGTGCTATACATGCTACACTTTCTAATATGTAAGCTCAATATGGACCTACCTGCACACTTAGTCTGACTCTCCACCTAACTTTTAATTGTTGGACCTAACCATCCGGTCATTGTCTTAAGGAAGGTGGAGTGACTGAGTAAGTGAAGGGTTAGGGCCTCGATTGGCTTATATTTTGTGAACAGAGGGGGCAAGAATTATGCCAACCATAGCAGATCTGGGCTGGTTTACGGTGCTGCAGAGCGCTCTGTAGCATCATAGCTCTGAGGCTTAGTGTAGCTATTGCATGCTGTAGCCGAGCGTTGGCTCTGGGGCTAGTTTGAGAGTTGGATTTGTAGCCAACGGGGGCTCTTCCATATTTTGTAAAATTTCTGTCGTCATGCTGTGTACCGCCTGTTTCTTGTTTGTTGCTTAGTAAAATCACATAGATTGGTTTATTAGTTTGAGATATTTTCTTATGTTTTAATGTCAGGTGTGAAATAAATGTTTCAGACCTTGTGAGGTATCAACATCTGATTCGCGGCTCGTTGCACATTTACAGTGTATTATGTGATATCAAGTTACATACTCGACTGAGAACGCCCCATTTTATCAGTAGACTTGGCGTCTGAAATTTTATATATTTTTTATTCAGAAGTTTGCCTTAGTTTGCATGGGACTGTTTGCTAAAGCTTTAATCCGACGGCATTAAAAAACGTTTTGTAGCACACTGCAATTGATAACGCGTTTCGCACGTGCAGTGATACTGGGCAAGAGCCACTACCTGCTCTACTGTCTGGTGTCGGCGATGCAGCCTCGTATGCTTGTCACCTTCGACGAGCACTTGAACCCTCTGCCTGTGGCGGTCAGGGTTGGTCAGGTACGTTCCTAAGTATAATGCTGTACACAATGTTCGCTGTTGAAGTTAAGTACCTATCCTGTTTGTCGCTGAACAAGTGATAAAACGACACAATCCTTCTTCAAATGCTAATCGAGGAACAAAGCTTGCTGAATTTTTTTCCTGTCTATCATCGCTGTCTGATTTTAGAGCAGTGTATTTGTAGAGGCTATTCGTCTCTTTATTCAAGGAGTGCCTTACTAGAACTGTCATTGAGACCGCTTGGAGTTGGCATAGTCCAATAAACTATTGATAAAGCAGTACGTATAAACTAAAAGTGTTTTTAGATAGAAATTTATAACGTACGGACTTCGTAGCATTTATAAATGGCTAGAAATCTTATGCTGTTGTTCAAACAATTTTTCTCAGCTGCAGCTCTTTCGAAACGGATGAATTTTCACTGTACGTGCATGACTTCCAAGCTGGAAAATGTTGTTCTCATTACTTATGTTTTGATAATTATAACAACAATTATCACAGTGATTGCTGTAATTATTATGTCATCATAGTATGATACTTATAACAATAGTTCTGACAATTATTGTTATGATCATGGTTCGATGGGCAGGCTGTAGACGTGGTGGGTCAGGCTGGCCGCCCCAAAGCCATCACGGGCTTCCAGACACACACGAGTCCTGTTCTGCTGGCCTACGGGGAGCGCGCCGAGCTCGCCACAGACGAGTACCTCCCCCTCACCCCCATCATGGAGGGCTTCGTCATACTCAGGAAAAATCCCGATTTTCAGGCTTAGATCATGCCTGCCTGCTTGTATTTCTCGAAAATCGTAGTTTCTTTAAGGAAAATCCAGTGAGGGTCGCAGTAGAAATTAACATTTTCTTATGAAATGGCTACTTTAAACTCAATAAAAATGTTAACATCCAGCCTGGGACTTTGATTTTTGATGAAACAGATTTTAATTTGAAGACATCTACTGTTTAATGCTGTCACGCATCAGAAGCTAAATAATGTATTTTGAAGCTGAATTTTGAGCGTCTGTACCAACTTAACAGTGCGTGAGACGAATTGCTTCAGTATAGAGGGCTGGGCCGCTGAACCGGAAAAAGCCATTGTTTTCCGTTTCTTTTTCTTCGTTGCCTATCAGGAAGGCATTTTTTGCAATTATCTTCCCATTCACGTTTTTTTAACGGTCCATATATATCGATGAGGAATCCGATGCCAATTGAAATTCTTTTCTAGGAGCCATGATGTAGTCGAGTGACATTTCTTGGCTGTCTGGAATTTAATTTTCGCAAACTCAAGTGTTGAAAATGACTCCTTGTGATGCATCACATTAAAGTTCGGCCAATTTTCGAGTTGAAAATCTAACAGATCCTAACTCCAAGTACCTGTTACATCCTAAACACAATATTTTTCATATTGCCCTTAGTATTCTAAAACCGATATTTTTTCTGGATCATTTGCAAGCTATCACTCGATTACATGAGTTTTTTATTGTTTTTTTTTCTATTGTATGCAAAAATGCTATTATGATAAATTAAACTTCTTAGGCGAATGCAAATTTTTTTTTGATCAGACTTGAGAGCACGAAGTTCCATAATGTACTTAGTATTATACCAACGTCAATTTCTTACACAAGAAATTAAGGATCAATAATGTCGTGAGTTTATTAGTAAAATTTGAAATTGCTCTGCTTCTTGATTTATTATTCCTAAAGCCATGTTTTGAAGATGACAGCCATGGCTTCTGCAAAGGTTTTGCTTATGAGAGAAGAGAAGATTGTATTGCATTTTGTTTGGATGTAGTGATGACTATAATTTTAATCTTTTTCAGCCCGTGACTCGTGTCAGTAGTAGCAAACCTGTGATGACCTTCGCATAGTTACCTCACGTCTCCCAATACCCGTGGCTCCCACGTCCCTGAGAAAAAGGCTCCTAACCCCTTATTGTCGTATAACTCGCTAACGAATGAGAAAGAAAAAAAATCGAGCTAAAAATCACCGTTAGGTCCTAATGAATACGTGTGTAAAGTTCAATTGAGCTCCGGCCATTACTTTGGGAGATATATCTTGATCACTGCATCGGCCTCAGAAATGCCAGTAGTTTCTCTGTATAGGGAAGGGTGGCCCAGTGGTTACAGGTAAGCAGAGTACCAAGATTGGCGCAGAGAGGCGCGGGTTCGATCCCAGCTCTGTGCGCCAGTTTCTGGTCAGAATCGGCAAGGAGGCCGGGCGGTTAAGCACAGCAGAATTGTAGCAGTGAGTTGCGAGTTCAAGTCCGCAAAATGCTGCGAATGTTCTGCGATGTTCAGAGTCGGCGACAGGCCTACGGCCTAATAAACGCTGAAACCGCTATTATTATTATTATAATTATTATTATAGCCATTTAACTCATGAACGAAGACATAGCCGAAAAAATTTCCACGAGCTAAACATCAGCGTTGGGCAGTTAGAGAAGTTCCTGCAGTTAGCTATAAATCTGGCTTATAATTACTGAATCGAAACTTTTTGGACATTTTCTGGTGGATTCAGAATAATTTTGTGAACTTCGTAAACAAACTTTATAAAGTAATTAAACCATCATAAGTACAATTTATTGCTTCAAAAATATGGAAAATATCCTTGCTAATGAAACAAAACATGATTATAACACGTATGTAACACGTTTCAACAAAGGCCGACTAGCGCGGGAAGGCGGTCGCAAACTCGCGTGGCGTAAGTTCGTAACGCGTTGTCGCGTTCTGTTAGTTGCGTAGAAGGCGTTGAAAAGAGGTGAATGCTCTAGTAAACTAAATGATTATAATTTCGTAGTACATTTCTCGGTTCTAACTCAAATATATCTACAAAAGTGAAGAAATAAGAAGATATTTAAAAAAAGTGACCCAGACATGAAAATTTCACGATTGCCTCATCCACATTGTCATTTATTGGTTCGTTGTCAGTCAGTGCAGGTGAATGAAAACATAGGGCTAGGGGTAATACTGACACTGCCACACTGGCCACTGGCACTGCAGCCTGTGTAGTGTGTAAGCTTTGGATTTAAAATCGGATTTATAGCTCACCCAAAGTCCAAGTAGCTAACAAACCAATGCAAAACTGTTCTATTGACATTATTTGCAAATTGTGCAGAAAAAAGTTTGTTGTACGACTTGTACGGTACCTAAGCCTACTTGTTTAAGCTCGATTCTCGAAGGAAAACTTGGTTTTATTTTCTGATGCTGTTTGTCAATTGTCTAGCTATTGTTAAAAGTATCAAAATGCATCGAATTTTCTACATAATGCGGATAACGGAGGAAAATTTTTTGGCTATTATTGTAGGTATTAGGTATATATGTGAGTTAAATTAGCATTAGGCTATGATTACATCTTGTGCATGTGCTCATTGTGCTGGTGTGCATAAAAATAATACATTCACTTCTAGTGCTAATAGCTAAATGCAGGATTTTATCCAAAAGCCACTAGCTAATTAGATTTAAATTTAATTTATGCTTATCAATTTTCATAAGTAATAAAGTAAAACTGTTCTAGGTACTGTAGTCTTCATCATATAAAATTTTTGACAATTAGAAATGAAAGTCATTAGCTAGTTGATTTCAGATAGCTAGGCTAAAAGGCAATAGTTTTTAATTGTATCTATGAGAATATGAATAATTTTTAGTCATCCTGGTTTGAAATCAGATGTCATTTTCCTAATCCGATTTCTAGTATTTGAAATTAATTTGCTGTCTTTGCTGAAATTTTTAATTTCTTATAGCTAGCAGATGCTGAAAAAATTACTGTGCATATTTTTTACACTGTTTTATCAAATGGTTTCATTAGCCTATTAAAATATTAAATCACAATTTTTTGGTCATGAAAAATTTTGAAGACAATTTTTATTAATGACATTTCAACATGGCAATGTCTTGAAAAAGACATTAATTATTGCTTATCACTCAGTGTGGTAGTCATCATAGACTTGCATGCTGTTTTCTCAATATTTTTCAACATTGATTTTTTTTATGTGTGGTCTCATGTAGAACTCAATTAAAACAATATTGCAAGATTAATATATCATAAACATAAATTCAAACAATTTTTGAAATTTGAACTAAGTTTTTCATGTTTTTCTTATTTTGATTCTGTAGAGAATTCTCAATGGACAGGCAACATATTTGTGCTACTGCATCTGCTAGTACTAGTAGTGCACCTCATGAACCTGAGTATCATCTCATGAGACACATGAGGAATGAAACTCATGCAGACAATGCTGTCTTGCCTGCAGTAAGGCACTACTATCCTGGTATCTGTCACACCTGCCTCAGGTATGTCTTTCTACTCAAGTACTCATTACGTTACCTTGAATATGTATTGACTGTATATATGTAATATTAGCTGTATATGTAACATATATGACTTCTGATAAGTGGCTATGAACAGGTAGTTTAGAAGGCCCACATATCTGTCAAATTCCTTGTTTTTGTATCTGTTGTCTTCATAAAATGAGTTACAAAATAGGTGTTGAATTACATTCACATGTATCATGTATGGAACTTATGAACATATATAATAGATGCTCAGTGACCAGTGCAAGCAGAAGCAGGTTAATGAAAAAGGCACCTGACAGGAACTATACTGAAGTTCAAATGACTGGTGTTGCACAAAAGCCAGTGAATAAATTGATAGATAATAGTAGAAAATAAAAAATCCAACATAGTCATATTTGAGCCTTTATAATGAATAAGCTACAGAATCAAGGTTAAGTCACTCTGGTTGATGGAAAGTAACTGTAAGCTATCACAGAATGCCTCCTGATCCTGTGCATGAGCCACTACAGCCGGGCCTGATGCGCTGCTCTGGCTGTCAGCTTGTTGTCTACTGCTCCAAACGATGCCAGAAGATGGATTGGCGTCATCACAGGTCCGTTCTTTTTACAAATATTGAGTAACTAGCTGAATACGGTTGAAACTAAACCAGTTTTGAGCTGAATCTTGATGTCTGCAATAATATAAATAAAAAGTTTTAAGAGATTGATGCCAGGAAACACTAAAAAATTCCCAAATGCATTACAATTACAATTCATATGCATCAAATTCAAAGTCTGCAATGATTTTTGCCTAAATTTGATTTCTTTACATTAACTGTATTTTTTACCTAACTTACTAAGAAGAAGGCTATTTAATCATTATTTGGAATAAAGTCTGACCTTAATCTTTCTGATAGGCTTTGCCATAGTTGAATTATATAAGGTTGACCCACGAGAAGTTCCGTCTTTCAGTTCAGCTTTCTTGTTACGTCACTGAGATCGAGAAACGTAAACAAACTCGTCATTCCCATGACGGATTGCTTGACTGGTTTGATCGCATTTCGTTGATTGGTTAATGCCCGTGACGTCACTGAGATCAGTGACGTCACGGCTAACAACGAACGATCAGGCTAACAACGAACTACATTCCCAAAAATGGGCTTCTGGTGGGTAAACCTTATACTAGTTCAAACATGGGCTTTGGCTGTACAAAGTCATGTTTTATGTTAGTATACCGGTATGTATGAAGTTGAATGATAAGCAGCAAAATTGGACATAGCATTTTGAATATTTCATTTTTACAGCATTTTTTTCAATTAAAACAATGATGTTTTCTTCCAGGGACTTGTGCCGTGCCAACAAAGTTGAGGGTGGCAAGAACGTATTTGAGAATGCTAAAAATCAAGTAGCTCATGGCGGAAGCTGGTTTCGCTATAGAAATAGGATGTACTCATCAGCAATGGCGAGCTTGAAGCGTAAACTGGAGCCCTATGAATATGATATCTTCATGTTTCCTCGAGTGTGTAACATTTGTCTAAGTGCCAAACAAGATCAACTGGCTGATTGCCCAATGTGCCACTCTGTTTTCTATTGTTCTTCTGAGCACCGAGATGTGGACCGCCCACAACACCAGACGTACTGCCTGCTGTTTCTTTTCATGCATCAATGCGATAAATTCGAAGCTGCGAAGGGCATGCGAGATATTCCTCTTCCCGTCGAAGTTGACGCTGTTTACAAGAACTTGCCTGATGGACTCATGACCTTGTTAAATCCAGAAAAGGAGCGTGAGCCCCTGAAATCCCTTGGTGTGGAAGGTATGAAATTTTTTATGATTATAGGCGAGAGGCTGAGCTATCCGCTATCTCTGCAATATGTCTTGGAAAATGTGGGTTTGGGGTCAGATAACAAACCCCTGCATGATATGACAAAACTGAGCGTGTTTGTAGTCGGAGCCAAGAGTGACACGGAAGTTCTAGGGATCCACAGATGGGAATACCTGGCGCATCGTCTGCCTGCTCTTCAAGTCCTTCGTGTGGTCTTCATTGGACCTGAACTATTTCTTCATGAAAGTTCAGACGAGGACTCTTCTTCTAATGATTACATTCTGGAAGACAGCGGAGAAGCCATGTGCGATGACTGCAAAGCAAAGCCACGCAGGATTGTCTATGAGTTAGCTAATATGTACTACCATGATTTTGTTGTAAGCTCGTATTATTCAAAGCCTGATGTAGTTATAGCCTACAACTGCGGTTTCGGTGAACATGTTGACAGTAAATCCGAAGATACGTGGCAGTCTTCCTTCCCTCTGCTCGTAGCAGATCCTGCCGTCCCTCTGGTGTTCACCTCCCACACGCTAAAAGAAGCACATAGAGATCTGAGCGCGCTGCAAGCCGCTGCTCCAGTCAAGGTTGTGATGCCCACGCAGCGCAATCCTTTCAGCAGCTGTCGACCTCACAGAGATGACAAAACCGAATCTCCTGCTTCTAATCCCTTTTTTTTCTTGAACCAATACATAACTTGCGTTCGTCGTGCTGATGAGTGATGTTTTCAAAGAATCTATTTTCATTGCTACGGAATTGCATTCAAAGCAATGTTAAGAGAACAATTTTGAGCCTCACAAATATATACGGTATATGATGGTTTTTCCCGCTGCGGCTATTTTTGAGTTAACAAGCCCATTATTAATTATTTGTTGAATTCTTTTATGTCTCTTTCTTGATCGCACATTCAGTGAACAGGAACTGTACTGAATCACTTTTTCCCAGACTCATTACCCTAATGGAAATCACTTGATTATCCGATTTTCCGGTTTTTGAAAATAATTCGAATTGGAAAGTGCGCGTGTTTTGTGGTGATTTGAGCACTTGGGTTTGTGCCTGCACCGATGGATTTATCTTGCGTTATGTCAATGGGCGAATTTTATGTTCTATTTTATACTTCGACTTGAACGTAATTATTACACCTGTACTTGGAGAAAAATGTATAGTATCTTTCCAGTTAGGATTAGATTTATCTAAATTGTCCTATTCGATAACAAATGTAGTTCGCAGAAGTTTTTTGATATGACGATGGTAAAAACACCAACAGTGGCATTATGGTTTTGTAATATAAACTAAGATCAGCATCATGGCTGATATCTAAAGGATTTAAAAAATAATGAAGCTCTCAAAAATATGCCACTGCATGCAATTATTTTTCTTTTTGCAAAAAATGGATTTATGTTGAATAAACCTTAATTTTTTGTTAAATAAAACTGCAAAAGAAGCTCACCTACCTGAAACTAGAAAAAACAATCTACTTTTATGTGGAAGTATTGATCTATTTCAATTATCAAGGCTTTGTTTTGTATGAACTTAGTTGCTAAAGAATTTAAAAATGTTCTTCGTATTTTTTTTAATTAATGGTATATTAAGTATGGCTAAAGTCGTTCGTCATATAATTAGAAAAGAAGAATTTTAATATCACTCAAGTTTTGTGTTGGCTCGTAATACAATTTCTTCGAAAGGAAATGATGAGAATTTGTCGTTCTTATATCTCTCTAACCCGGAATCTGCATGATTTTTCCTACTTTTCAATCCTGCACAACCTAAGATACTGTACAATCGTTAGTACGCAAATTCATATGTTAGAGGCATCCTAGTTTTTTTACGTTAATGCGTTTCATTTTACCTTCGTATGACCTTGGCGAATACAAATCTGCAAGGAGATTTTCTCTAAAGCATTCAGAACTCGCCAGTGAACCTCAACTGCTTATAATTATTTGAAGATGTGATTCAACTTGTGCCCTCGTGTGGGTCATCCTGACCCAGTTCGGCCCGGCATAACTGAGTATCGGGGCTACGGCAGCTCTTTGCTATAAAAGTCACTCAGATAAAGGAAAGACTTCTTTTTAGCGCATTTTCTCATTTATGGAAAAAATGCACAATTGTGCTCGCCATGTTCGTTCGTCCGTCTGTCTGTCCATGACCAAGTTTTCGTCGACGAGAAAATGCGCTCTCTGTCACTCACTGCAGTGAGTACTGAGTTATATTTTTTTCCCTTGCTTGGGTTATCTTGACGAAGTTTGGCCTGGCAAAAGAGGCGTATTAGTGTTCCTTGTAGAAGGTGTCACTTTTTGGACACTACGACCCATTCAGTTTTCTTGTTCAGGCCTCTGTGCGTTCTTTATAAAATTTCAAACGTAATCTATGAAATTAGAGATTTAAACGTAATATATATTGAGTGTTTTTTTTTACAACAAATATCCACTGGAAATTTTGGTCTCTTAACTACTAGATGCAAAACGGAAGAGGATTTTCAGTTGAACAAAAAAATTATTTTACCCTTCATAGGTTGCAATAATTATACAACAACAGACCGGTAACTAGGACTGGCAGGCTACAGGACGACTGACCGGTAACAGAAGGACTGACTGGTAACTGGAAGTCTGGCCGGTACCGTACGTGAGGACTGATCGGTAACTGGACGACTGACCGGTAACAGGAGGATTAACCGACAGCAGGGGACTGGCCGATAACAGGACTGACGGGTAACAGGGAGACTGACTGGTAACAGGGAGACTGACTGGTAACAGGGAGACTGACTGGTAACAGGAGGACTTCTCGGTAATAGGACTGCTCAGCAACAAGGACTGGCTGGTAACAGGAGGAATGATGAGTAACATGATTGCCCGGTAATATGTCTGACTGGTAACAAGGACTGGCTGGTAACAGGACTGACCAACAACAGAAAGACTGGCTGTTATTTTGAATACTGGCATGTGACAAGAATGGTCCGGAAAATCTTCGTTACTGTGTATATTTACTTTAATAATTTGAGCAAAGCAGTTTTTGGTCGTTCATTATAAATCTATCGAGTTTTTACATGTGATGATCGTGTCTGGTGTTGTTTTATCTGTAACATATTTTATTTGCAGCTAAGCATTGTCAGCTGTATTTGTCAGCATTGCAGTATGTCAGCTGTATATTTTCTGCGACATACCTATCTATTCAGTATGTGACTCCTTTTCGTAGTAGCAAACCTATCTTGACCTTAGAATATATATAGGCTTTCGAAAATGTAATTTTGAATACCGCTTAAACACTTCGGGGACGAATTTGGGAACTGGCTTTCCACTCATAACTTAGTAATATTAGAACAGATATGGACCTAATTAAAAACAAAGAAGATATATATTCCTAATTCACTCCTGCGAGCGTTGTCAGAATTTTTTGGTTCGCTTAGATTTTAATTATCGCTAAGTTTCGGCATGTTATCCACGCTTAATTTTGTCAAATCGAAACCGTAACTAACTTAAATGAAGCTATTTATTAAAAAAACTCTCCTCCGAGCGTTGTCAGGATTACTATTGTTCGTTTAATTTTCACGTAGTGCGTTAGCGCTAAGTTAGGAACGAGAAGGGCGCTAAAATTGATTTTTAGCGCACTACGTGAAAACGAAGCTGACAAATAAATTCAGACTACGCTCGCAGGATAAAAAGTTCGTTGGGAACTAGTTGAATATGGTTTTAATTTGACAGTAATTTATGGAAAACATGCTATGAACATCCATCCCAATATAGTGTCCGGGCAGTATTTTTAACGATAGCGACATTTATTAATCGAAGCTAAACACTTTGTTTAACAGAAAATTACTCATTAACTCTTTAACAAGCCACGAAATTAAACTTAAAAAGCACTAATCTTTACCAGAAAACTTTACTATTCAATTTTTTATTTGATTGTTCTTCTGTTATCTTAACCGATAATATTAGTGTTTCGCGGAATAATCCAGCTACTTTGTGATCTTCCGCAGCCGCGGAAATCTGGAAAAAGTTTTTTTGTGTGTTTTTTTTTTAAGACGAAAGCCCTTGAGGAGAGAGTCCGCGGCGTAACCCGCTCCGCTCCGGGGTCTGACCTCGTTCACAATTCTTTTATATTCCATCTGCCTAATACCCATCACTCAGCCTTGCTTGCACTTTTCAACCAGTCTTTCCGAATGTCGGACTCGGAACTGCCGCTTGAGTGGAAAACAGCTCTCGTTATTCCAATTCCCAAGACCCAGAAGGACCCGAGCCTGCCATCCTCCTATCGACCAATCTCTCTGTTGTCATGCCTGGGGAAGCTAATGGAGAGGCTTGTGTGTGACCGGCTTTCATGGCTTCTGGAATCCAAGCGATGTTTTCTGCCTCACCAATTCGGATTTCGGCGCCACTTGTCAACAATAGACGCCCTAACACCAATAGAGCACGAGATTCAGATGGCTCTCCGGGGGGGGCAGGTGTTGTTGGCAGTGTACTTCGACCTTAAGGGCGCATTTGACGGAGCATCACACGAAGGCATCCTCTACAAGCTAGCACAGAATGAAGTTAGGGGCCGCATGTTGCGATGGATACGGGCATTCCTGACAGGACGTTCCTTTCGGGTAGCAGTCGCCGGATGCCTATCCTCACAGCATTACACTACATCTGGAGCATAGTGGCAAAGCAGAGAGATTTTTAGACTCTCCCTCAAGTTCATTTCTGAGTTCTATAAGTAGACCAGTAAAGTATCCTGGATACCAGCATCATCATACTTAAAAAATGGATTTAAATCTTGGGTAAATGAGGAAATTAAAACTGAACTGATTCTAAAAAAGCTCTGGTTTGCCACTATGTAGTCAGTCACCTGGCAGCAGGCTGGAATTCTAAAATTCGTGGTTCACATAAAAAAAAGCGTTCCGCCTTAAAAAAAACGTTCCAGGCAACTAGAAACAGGTTTGCAGGCCATCAGAAATCGGCTTCGGTTNTTGCATTCCTACATTAAAAATCCGCTCATTATTATCATTATTATCGTGATCATTATCGACTCTCATCATTTTTACTAATCATCGACTTGAATCAATCCATACTCACATAGTTGGGGCTGATAATGAGCCTGACGAAACTCCCGGTCTGGTCGGCGTAGAGGCTCTCAGCGACGTCGATGCGCATCTTCTCCTGCTCCGTGGCGCCCGCCAGTCCCGTCTTGCGGCCAAGATGGCGGATGATGGCGCTGCTCTCCGTCAGCTTCACGTCGCCGTCTATGTAGTATGGCAACTGAGAAAAACAAGTTTCTGAAGCAAAACTTATATGAAAGAAAATAAGAAGCGATTGAATGCAGTATGTGCTCTGGCAGAATAACGAGAGATTGATGCTAAACGGCTCAGAACGAAATAGTTCAATGTATTTAAATTATACCTTAATTGAAGCGCAATCGGTAAGTTTATCGAATTAATTAAAACTCAAATCAAAACGAAATTGCACTCAGAAATCGATCTAAACAACAAGGCGATAAAAATTTCTTAACAGCTGGAAATTCAAATTATGATTCAGCTCTGTTGAAGTTTTCAAACAGAAATTTTCTGTTGAATTTTCTCGGTGACACCCACATTGGGAAGATCAAGGCCGAGACTAAACTTGACGTTGAACCACTCAGACCGGTCGTAGGCGGGGGCTGGGCCGATGTCGTAGGTCTTGTCCTCATACTGCGTTCCAGTGTAGGTGAGCAACGTGCGGATGGGCTCCGCCAGCTGCAGGATCCACAAAAATAAACATCGGAGGTGAAAAAGATTCGTTTTAATTTCATCTATTTAATTTAAATTTAATGATTTAAGTCAATTATTAATTTAATAATTATTTTTATAATTAATAATTCTATTTTAATTTAACAATTTCATCTAAACTGTACGAAAATAAATAGAATCAATTAACACTTCTAGAAAAGGCTTTAGTTTATATCGAGCAATGAAAAAGCCTGCTCTTTCAGACACGTGGTTTTACAACTATTTCAAGGATATTCGCAAAATCGTGTGTCATATATTGAGCTAAATGTCAATAGAGTTCAGTCGCTGCCAGATCCGACTTCATTGCGCGAGGAATGACTATGCACAATTTGGGTCTCGCATGAAATGTCACCTGAAGCGTGACTCGCACAAACTGCTGATGTAGCACAAAAAAATTGTTGCCACGTTAATAAAAGTGGCTTATTTGAATGAATAAATTGTAGAATTTCTTCATCAAGTATCCAGTCAGTAATTTCGAATTAAGGTAAAATGTAATTTAAAAATGACCCTTTAACCAAAGTCAATTTATAACTATTGTTTAATTTGACTTTAAATTTGTACTCAATTTGATTTCTTATCTTTAAAATAAAGTTTGAAATGCACCGAAAGTGTAATTTTAAATTTTTAATCCAATTTCATCGCTGTTTTGTAACGGCTCATGATTAGTCCACTAAAATTAGAACTAATGGTAATGGTATATATCCTAACACGGTAGGTACAGTGGATGCGGCCTCCAGCACTCCTGCATTTAACAGCGCCAAACCGCGTCAACCTATTTTAAATTTTCCTGTCAGTATTAATTTTTTGCACAATTGTAGGCTGGTGCGCGTTAGTTACGTTCAACAGCGCCTCTGGCGCCACGGCGGAGGCAATGACCAGCAGAGCACGGCGAAGGAGGCGCCTCGGGGTAACCATGGTTCCAACAACCAGGGACACGTTTCAAGATATTAAGAATATGGCTATAAATAACCCTAAAGAGTTACAGTGCCAAAATTCAAACACGTAAATTAAGAAAACTTTCTCTAATATGTATAATATATTCTTGTGCTAACGGAGCTCAAATTGATAATGATTCAAATATGCTCTTATTACAAGTTGAAAAAGTTGATTATGGTTAATTTAGTTGCGAGACATTATGAAGCTTTTCCGCTCCAAGCGATAGATCATTTACAACAAGTATTATAAGTATTATTTATCTTCGGTTGATAGCCTATGTAATATTAGTGGTTGATAGCCTATGTAATAATATCTCAAACTGGTGGTAGATCACAAAAATGGTTGGGAACCGTTGGATAGAACATTGACTGCAATTACCAACGAGCTTTAACTTGGATTAGCAAAATATGTTGTGTCTGGCGTTATGGATAATTGAAATAAACTCTACTTCGTGGGCTTTCAAAATATCTCAGTTTCTCTCGATGTATGCGTAAAACAAAACGAAAAGAGTGCTCAATTATAAAACTTTGAACTGATAACCTTATCGGGATTCATCTTCATCAGTCCCCCTACGGAGCATCGGCATCAGTCAAAATTTATTACTGCACGTTTCAAGATGCAAGTTCCACACCACGCTCAATTCAAGTTTTTCAATCACCGAGGATAAAAAAAAAAAAAAAAATCACAGCAAAATTTGTTTTTGAGTAGGCCACTGCAAACCCCATATTGCTATTTTGTATAAGAACGATTTTGATCACATTTGAGTTCAAGAATTTTAATAAAACAATATAAGGACGCAATCCTGTGAACGACGTAGAAGATATATTTTAACAGAATATTCAAAGCTATAAATTCAGGCGTATGAAAGCCAAGGTAGTGACAGCAAAGCAGCTGAGGAATTAACGAATTTTAAAATCACTTACTGCTCGGAGGCTCCAGTAACCCAAAACAGGCATGATATTGAATAAGTGACGCAGGCAATAATAATACAGTCAGAGAGACGAGTACCGAGCACGTACTATCTATCCCAATGCTACTGAAACACTGGTTGGACTCTTCCACCTGTGCCTCTCCAGTCGCAAGCCATCTACTGACCGGTGTCAGATAATTATTGGCTATAGCAACTGTGGCCGGCGGCCTTGGCAGAAATACTTGAAAACTACACACGTATGAAAGCTCATATCTCAACAAGACACTCACAATACTGGGAATATTTAAAAAAGCTATTATACTGGATAAATAATAACTATATACGAATATACCTCTATTTCTACTTTCACCTCCCAAAAAGTTGGTCGGCCTCTGTTGGTCGGCTCAAAAATCGGCCTTTGCGGTGTTGAAATCGGCCGCAGACAATAGAAAAGTTCAATTTTGTGGCAGAAAAAATCTTCAACAAAGTGCACATCCGAAAGTAAAAATGTTTATTCTTCTTGTTCTGCATCCTGGTTTGTGACCTCGAATGAAGTTTATGTGACTTGACGTGCGTGGCTTAACAGATGCAAGGTTATCAACTCATTTTCAATAAATGTTTACTAAGCGAAACTATAGGCTGGCAGAATTTCTTCTCTTAAGCAAGTTTGTTAAAGACCAGAGAATTAGTTTTATTTATTAGCTTCTTGTTAGTTTTTTCAATAAGTCGTACTAAATTCTTCGTAAGTGTTGGAAGATTGACAATCAAATTACCGATAGACATTTTTAATATTGAACGACGTTTCGAATGTACAACATTCATTTTCAAGTTAAAGACGCATAGAGTAACAAAATTTGGGTTGACATATGAACGAAATCAAGTAAATTGGATACCATTCAAATAATGATAAAATTTCGTTAATGTGATACTACGGGAAGATTTTACAGGCGCAAAAAACTACTCGGAAAACAATCTCAAAGTTTTCGGAAACCAACAGATATCGGAAGGGTCCTGAACGCTGCCAGCGAATGCCCGGAACGCTACAAAAAGAGCACAATACGCGCCCTCATCCATAGAGCTTTCAAGACCTGACCGCTCTACTGAAGATGATTTAAATAGCGAACTGAGAAATTGTAAACAAATCCTTGTCAACAATGGCTTTACAAATAGTGCCATCGACGAGGAAATCTCAAAACTCCGATCAAAACAAAATGGACTGGAACAAAATAAAAATTTTACTACTATCTACTACCAGAACCAAATGACCAGTGGCTATAAAGCAGATGAGCGGATCATTAAATCTATCGTACACCTACGAAGAATTTAGTACGACTTATTGAAAAAACTAACAAGAAGCTAATAAATAAAACTAATTCTCTGGTCTTTAACAAAACTTGCTTAAGCGAAACTAGTGCATCCTAAGTTTCGGAGATCGAGTTCATCTTACGTTGCGGAGCGCGTAGACATCCCACGTCAAGCACGATGAAATAAAAAAATGAAGTTGTGAGTCAAAAATACGACGATTTAGCTAAATTTTTGGAAACTAAGAGATGTAGGCATTGCGAATGTTTAGGAAACATCTGTTCATGACACCCTACAAAAAAAAAAATCTGCGATGTCTTGAATCTTGACCAGAATAAATGGTTTCAAGTGCTATAGTGTGAGGTGATGTTAAATGTTGTGACATAAGACTGTACACCCGATAAAATATTTAAAAATTTGATGAAACTTTTGTGAGTGCATCGTTAGTGTCGTTGTTCAACGCGGACGGATATGTTCGCTTATCAAGCATGAGTACTCAGTACTCCTGAAATTGTAGGCGATGACCGCGATGGGCCGATGACACTACACTCGATTCTGGTTCGAGTTTCGTTTGTTCGTTCATGGTGGCAAGACGTGTGGTGCTTACGCTCAACAACCAAAGTTCACGGTGCTGTAGTCAAATCTGAAACACAGTGCAAATTTTATATTTACTAGGGATTACCGAATTAGTGTGAACTGTGAAGAACACTCAAAGGTGGAAAGTATGGCTGAATCATCGTCAGGCCCTGGCCTGACAGAAGACCTCTTCGCCGAAGCAGTGATGGACACCTCTGATTTTGCCGGCTTCCCTTCCGACTCACCAGTGATAGGAAGACCTGCCAAGATCAAGAAGCCCAGACTTCACGGTTATACCAAACCTGTTCCTTCGCCAACTTCTTCAGAACCTACCTCAAGCTCAAACAACTCCACCCAGTATGAAACACTGCCGGCCAGTCACTCCTCTACCACCTTTCTTCTGCTACGAGAAGATAAAAAGGCCCTACCATTCAACTTCTATGCCCAAATCTCCAAAAGCTGGCCAGCACTACAGTTCATCAAACCCGATAGCCTTAGCCGAAATTTGAAGGGCACCCTAATCACGGGGGAAGTACTGACCAATAAAGTAAAAGAGTTTACCAACTCAGATCACTGTTATGAACACAGCGGAATTAAATACAAAATTCGTATCCCTAAAGAGCCAGCCATGTTCCAAGGGGAAGTAATATTCGATTTCACAGATATAGAGGACAAATACCTTCTGAGCTACACCGCAGATGATCTCCTAGCCGAGCTTTCCCTCCCTGCTAACCAAAATGCAAATAAAATCCTCTCGGTTAAAAAGCTATTCCCAAGCCATGTAGTTGCAGATCCAAACAACAGCAGTTTTCAAGCGATGCGCATAGCAATAGAATGCTCCTCGGCAGTACCAGACAAGGTATTCTTCCATAATGTCTCACTTAAAGTACACTCCTACCTTGCCCCCCCCGCCCCGCTGCTACGGTTGCCAAAGATTTGGCCACGGTTCCATCTCCTGTCGAAGACTAGCAGTTTGCGCCCGTTGCTCCTCCCCTGACCATGTCGTGCAGAACTGCAATGCCGACAACCCATGCTGCGCTTCATGTAAGGGCCCGCATCCAGCATCCTCTCCTCGTTGTCTTTTTTACCAAAAGGCCATGGCAATCTCCTCTCGTGTTGCTTCTAGAGTTCTCTCCCGGGAGATGGCTGCAAAGGAATATGCAGCACTGTACTTACCAACCAAAACCCAACCTAGTCAACCCTTAAGAAACACTATGCAGACCAGTGCTACACAAGGGACCACTGTCATACCTCTACNGGGTATAGGAAGGCGAGGCCTGAGCGCAGTCAAGGCAGCGATTGTTCTCGGGTTACCGGCAGTCGCCGAGGGTTTTCAAAAACTTGCCCTCGTTTCACGCACTATAATTTGTCGGGAATAAAACACTTGTACTAGCCGTTTTTCTCACTATTCGCACAATTTTGATTGAACTGCACTAACATTGAACCTTTCACTGAAATCGTTTCGGTACAAAATTCGCGAGATAGGTCAAACCGGCATAGTAAGAAGTGAGAAAGTTGGGACCCGCAAACACTACGTGCGTCCCCGATCACTGCCAGAACTCAACTATATAGGTAAATTTATAGGAGGATATAGGTAAATTTTTCATTTGATCTACAGGTAGACTTCTAAAGGACACGATGGAACTTGTGTAACTATATCGCGACCCCGAGACCAATTTCTGCTCATAAGCTCGAGTGTCTTGAAATATTTTCAGGTTCCTAATACAATCCTTGCCTCGTGAAGTGTTGCGCAAATTTTAAGCTTCTGAATGAAGGACTTGCAACTATCATTCCTTAACTACAATGTCGAGGAAGTAAAATAGGAACCATAAATTTCCCATTTTTTATGTAAATTAGAGATTTATCCAGAAAACTATGGGGCAAAATTATTGGACCCTTCCTCATGCAGGCCTCAGACGAAGGACATCAGAAAGCTCCAAACGATGTACCATTTAGTCGATGGCGTTCTGTCCTCAATTTTCGCATCTATCTAATCCAAAAAACTATCACTCAAGTGGCTGTTTTGCTATATCAAATATTTGTACGCTTTCGAATTATCAATTGTTTCATTCAGATGAGTTAGATGGTCCGGTATCACGCACAAAAATATTCGTTGGTTCAGGAAATTGAATTAGACCTTATTAGATTAATTTTATTTGCATCAGCAAACAGATCAAATAAGAACATAAAAGTTGGTAGAAAATTCTTACCTTAACCACAAAACCCAACATTCGCTCATCCTCAGCTAAAAGAAAGCGTATAAAAACTGTACTATAGTGTTACTCCGTACGATAATAAGCTAGTTTAAACTTAGTATGATTCTTCCCCGTGGCCAAACTTGGCCATTCTGCCGAATAATCTTGTGCTGATTTTTTTGAACTCCGGAGAGTCGCGGCGCGCCTTCACCCCTGGCAGGTCAAGCAGGCGAGTCTGAAGGGCCTTCAGGGTGGGGAACGCGGCCAGCGCGCTGGGGGAGAAGCTCTCGTAGCGGTCCAGCAGCTCCAGGATTAGGAAATCCGCGTATGAGATCTGCAAGAGCAGAGCTGAATTAACGTGGACTGAAATAATTAATTCCAAGACACCTCTAGACCAGTCCTTTCACAGTAATCCTTCAAAGAAAGCAATGACAAAAATTCTAGCAAAACAAAGGTCATCCGACAACCGACACAAGCAAATAATAATAATAGCGGTTTCAGCGTTTAGTAGGCCGTAGGCCTGTCGCCGAATATTAACATCGCAGAACACCCACAGTATTTTGTGGTCTCGAACTCGCAACTCACTGCTACAATTCTGCTTTTGCTTAACCGCCCGGCCTCCTTGCCGATTCTGACCAGAAACTGGCGCACAGAGCTGGGATCGAACCCGCGCCTCTCTGCGCCAATCTTGGTACTCTGAACTTTAACCACTGGGCCACCCGGCCCTGTGCAAAGAATCTCCGAATAAAATAAAAACGAAATTAAATAAAATAAACAGGGTTCGTACCGGTCATGGAAAACCTGGAAAGTTATGAAATTTGATTTTTCAGTTTCCGGCCCTAGAAAGTCATTGGTCTTCATTTCAGGTTATAGAAAGTCATGGAATTTGCAAATAAAAAATGAAAAAAATGAATGTTTTCTGTGATGCGTGTGTAAAACTGTTTGTGCAGTCTTTTGTTTCCTGCGTTCTGATTGGTTCTCCAATCACATGACCGTCGGTCATGTGATTGGAGAACCAATCACGTGAGTCAGTTGCATTGGACAACTTTTTGATGTGCAGTGGCAGCGCTCCAT